TGTGAATATCTCAACTTTCCAAATCAATCTGAAACACCAAGTGTTTGTGCACAATTACATAAGGTCATCATTCACATATTTCATTGTCGGATTGTCACTCTGCAGATCATGTGTAAATGCCCTTATAAACATCAGATTCCTCAGCGTGTGTCCAATCTCCTTCCATTTTATTCGAATCATTTTTAACTAAGAGATACTCGTTTGGTTAGTTTCTACAGTTTTTTGTTGCGAATTCTTTCTGACCAGCGATTCGATCTTCCTTATGTGTCCAGAGATTCCACATGTTGAGAAAGGTGTGAAGTTCCCTATTGGAAACGCTCTTCGTGACACACTATGTCTCCTTTCTATTGTGTTGATGTAGTTTTCAAATTACTTCTTGGATAATACTGACGAAGGCCTTTTCGAAGTGGATGAAATTACGATAGTGATTTGACTTCCCTTATTTACTCTGTTAAACGCTGATGTATAGAGTCCCTTTTTATCGCCTATTTCTCTCCAGAATGATACAATTCCATGAAATAAATGGGTGGAAGAGAGGGTTAACTCTCAGGAGACAAAGTGTTCCCCACTGGTATCACTGTTAAACCGTTTCACCCTACTCAAAGTACACGTTGATTTCGTTCGCATCTGAAGATGAAGTGTGAGATTTTCACCAATATGTTTCTGAAAGTGTTGTACACTTTCTCAAAGTTTCATGCATAAGCTAGCTCTGTGAAATTTGTATTCATCAGTTTTATCAGCTGAGAGTTTTATGCCTAATAATGGCCTTATTTTTAATAGTACATTTCTACAAAATACTCAGGGCTGAATGTGCTTGTTGAGTAGAACTTCATTCTTGTGTGGAATCTTGAGTTAGGACAGTAATAATGAGTGTGTTATCATTCTAAACGAATCTTAACTATACGTCATACTCTTTATCATCAAAATGAGAGGTATATTTCTACACAGAAATCGTTATAAATTCAATGATGGACTACTATCCGAACACAGATGTAGTGCAGATTTAATTGTCGACAGACACATTCCCTACCCGCAGCTATTTTACTTGTCGGCGGCATATTCGGTAATGTGGGGAGTTTAATGTTGGGAATGTTAATGTGGGGAATGTAGCTCTAGGGCATGTTTAGATAAATACATACAAATACAATGCAGTGAATTTGGTATATATTTTTTTACCGAATATTAGATCAACTAGCGAATTGGACGATCCGCCATTTGAAGAATTCTCAATGCATAAACACCAGAGATTTCTGATTGTAGTCTTGATCAATTGCTAAGAATTACTCAATGGAAGTGTAGTAATTTATTGTACTTGAAATATTAATATACCGGGATGACGGAATTATAGGAATCTAATCAAAACCCAGAGAGGGCAGCAATCAGTAATTTGTATTTAGCGGAATTAGAATGCAATTCATATAAGAAACATATCAACAGTCAACAGTAAGTATTTAAACAATACAGAGATAGAAATTGTCAATCACCACATCTGCCACACCTCGAATATCTCCTCGCGTATTTATAACGATGTCTCGGTTTGCTTGCAAGTAGCTTCGAGCTAACTGATTCTGTGATATTATTTTCATCAGTACTATCTGGACTTATTTCTGAATTATCTACAAAATCAGGATTATTAGCGGAATCAATAATATTATAATTGGAACGACCTACTTCATTTATTGTCACTTTGTCCAGGTGTCCGTTATGAACTGAGTGATCTTTGATGTCTAATATCTTCACCACTCAATTTCCCATTTTTTGTAGTATGATTCCAACAGAAGGTCTGTAGTTATTATCTTTGTAATAATGTACATTAGAAGTAGTGGACATCAGATGCTTTTTGAGAATTCGAGATTTGAATAGTTTTGCAGGACTTTCACAAGAACTTGTATGCTTTGCATTCAACAGACGTAGTCTATGCATATGCACCAATTCCTCCATTTTATTCAGTTGCTCTCTCATCTCATTCAGGTCTTTTCGTGCTTTCGACAGTTCACATTGCAACTTAGCTACCTCATTTTTGAATACAGTTGATACTTGCGTTGCTGAACTTGTAGTGGAGGTTTTCGTTGGATTAGCTTGAGTATTTTGAAAAGTTGAAAGACACATAGACTCCATTTTACTAGACAGCTTGGGAGAATTATAAGAATGTTGAGCAACATATGTATTCGAACTCCTGCAAACCGTCTTGATGTGTCCAACTTTACCACATTTATAGCACTTAGCACTCCGAAAACGGCAAGTGCTTCGTAGATGTAACTTTCCACAGGATAAACACGGTTTAATGTTTTTGATCTCTCGCTGCATTCTATTACCTGTGGACGGCAGTTTGGATTGCTTTCCATGAACACTTGTATTTTCGACTTTTGAAAGCATAACATCAGATACTGACGTAGTGGGAGCTTGATGTTCGCTGTTGACATCTTCATATGTCATGCATACATCTTTAGCAGTTTGAAACGTACAAGAAGGAATCTGAATTAACTCTTTCTCTAATTTAGGAATGTTGATTCCAGCAATTAGACGATCACGTAGTTGTGTATGCAGCTGATCTCCAAAATTACACTTTGAGGCTTGAATTTGGAGTTGTAGTATAAAGTCTCTTATCTTCTGATTGGGAGAACGTACCAGTTTGTTGAACTGAGCCCTCTCTCTGGTCTCAAAAGTAGTTACATGGGAGTGATCTATAAGAATTTCACGGAGCTTAGCATATGGCAGAGAAATAGGTTTATCTGGAAACGCCAGATTCTTCACTAGGCTATATGCATCTAGCCCAATAGCAGTGATGAAATGTGCTGGTATTTTGTCATCCCGAACATTCTTGGAAATGCAATACGCATCAAAGCATTCCAAATAATCAGCAATCTCCCGCGGAGACCCATTAATGGGGAATTTTCCCAGGTTACTTAGCTCCATCGCGACGCCAATTTGTAGTAATTTATTGTACTTGAAGTATTAGTATACCGGGATGACGGAATTATAGGAATCTAATCAAAACCCAGAGAGGGCAGCAATCAGTAATTTGTGTTTAGCGGAATTAGAATGCAATTCATATAAGAAACATATCAACAGTCAACAGTAAGTATTTAAACAATACAGAGATAGAAATTGTCAATCACCACAGGAAGTTTAAAGAAAAAGAGATGTCGCATACGATCACGAACACTTTATAACTCCCTGGTAGTTGTCTCCTCTTAATTACGTAGCATATTTCCTGGGCTTCAATTTAAGGATTTGTACGAATCCTAGACAATCAGGACACCCAGAATGTCACCCATTGTCTGGAAGACTAGAACTTTGACGAATCATCAATACACGGACACCCTGACACAGGCGAGATTTATCAATCAACTGGTAGTTCGAGAAGAGTTCGACCACTTTCTCCATCTGTAGAAATGCCGTTACATTCAATCTTCCATGGAAGAGAGTAGCAACAACAGTGATGACCTGTCGAAATCATAGTTTTTAAAAGGATTTGAATAATTATCAAAATGGCTACGTAATGGGATGAACAGTTAAATAAGTGAGTGGTTACCTGGAAGTACATTTAAAGGAAGGATTATCTGAGATCACATAGATGTTCTTAAGAAATAAAATAGTTATGAATAGTAAGAAAAGCTAACAAAGATCATCGTTAATCACAAATGTACCTCTAATAAAATCAATTAATTACATAGGTGAACAAGTAGACAAGCTTTCGATAAACATTGGCATACATACTGAGATCCTAAAAGAATTGATTTTAAGATGTACCATGAATGTTAATTTCAAATTTAATGGCATGCTTTACAGACAAGTGGACGACTTGGCGATGGGCTCCCCATTAGTTCCCATTCTGGCTGACTTCTTTCTAAATAAGTGTGGTGATTGACAATTTCTATCTCTGTATTGTTTAAATACTTACTGTTGATTGTTAATATGTTTCTTATATGAAATGCATTAGAATTCCGCTGAATACAAATTCCTGAATTCCGCCCTCTCTGTGTTTTGTTTGGATTCTTGTGATTCGGTCACCTCGAAATACTAATACTACGATTACAATAAATTACTACAATAAGCTAGAAAATGGACCTCTGAACAACCTTATCAGTAAGCTCTCATTTTATTGCCGATATATGGATGATGTATTTATTCTTTGTGATACTGGTTCTGATAGGAGTACAATAATTACTGAATTCAATGAAGTACGTTCGGCTATGAAATTCACATGCGAAGAGGAATCCAAAGACAGAATTTCCTACTTACAAGAAAACCAGATGGTAGCATAAAAAGAAGTTTGCATAAAAAAAGCACTTGGACAGAGCAATATACACATTTTCACAGCTTCGTTCCTATCAAGTACAAAAGAAATTTAGTGAAGACCCTCAGCCACAGAGTTAGAGCTATATGCTCAGAAGAAGTAATTGAAGATGAATACCCATTGTATATGATACCTTGATTGAAAATATCTATCCCAAGAAATTTATCAACAAACACGTGACAAAGAAAGCCAAAAAAGACTACTCACTATCTGTAAACAACAAGAAGCCACTTTATATACAACTGCAATTCGAGGGCGATATACCAAGTGAGATAATTACGGGGAAATTAATAAAATCAGTTCAAAGAACTTTTAATGATGGCGAACCACACGGTCTTATTCTCTAAACGACCTCTGGTGCTACCTCAACTGAAAGATGAAGTTAATGCATATAGTTTCCTTGATAAATTTCGATAAAGAAAGGAAGATGAAATTAGCAGTATAAAATGAAATCATTCTATTTCACAGGTTCTCATCACCTGCAGACTACCTGAAATTACAATGGTTTTATAGATGATAACATACTTTAATGTTTGGGTGGTGGTAGGGAAGAGATACTATAAAATTGACGCATCCAAAATGAAAGCATTACAATTTTTTAGTTCAGGTTTTTATCATCAATTTATACGCTTTTAAAGTTGAAAAGAGGGAGGAGGGGTAAGACAGAAAACAGAAAAATTGATTAACAGAACAGTGGTTAGGGTGACTCTAAAGAATAGCGGCCCAAACCGAAACGACCTTCGAACAAAAAAGTGACCTTGAGCAAGGTATCAGCTGACTGTGTCATTTTCGGAAGTAAACATGGATGTTTTCGATTACTGTTTGGATAACGGACTGATAGCTTTGTCGAAAATTTGCCAATGCGGAGGAGTTATGCATATACAAAAATACACAGAGGCCATTGATGGCTTTGTATACAGATGTATTGAGTGCCGAAGGAGGATATCGGTTCGAGAAGGTTTGTCGTTGTTTTTTAGTTTACAGATCCCTTAGGAACTTTTCTCTCAAGGTCTAAACTACCTTTGACGAAAATTTTAATGATCGGTAACTTCTGGGTCCTGAAAAGAGCTTATGGAACAGAAAATTCAGAAGTGTCAGCAGTGCAATGGTACAACTACTGCAGAGATGTTTCCTCCTGGAAAATGAACACCCTGACTCAAGTTCTCGGAGGAGTCGGCAGCACAGTCCATATTGATGAGACTGTACTTATAAAAAGGAAATACAACCGCGGGAGATTACAAGCAAACCAGCAGTGGATACTGGGTGTCGTATACGACACGACACTGCGCAAAGGGTATATAGAAGCGATTCCCGATCGCAGTGCAGCAGTATTAGTGCCTATTAATAAGCGTTTGGTGTTGCTGGGGACGACTGTTCATACAGATGAATGGAGCGGATACCGTCAATTATCGAATCAAGAGTAAATTCATCATGTTTTTAATCATACGGACATTTTCGGAATCCTTTGGATGGAACCCACACCAGTTCCAGTGAAAGTTTTTGCAGTCGTCTAAAAAGACGTATAAGAGCGGTTAATGGATCGAGAAATCCCATGATTTACAGTTACCTGAATGAATTTATGTACCGAAACTGGTTTCATATGACTATGACGACTCCCATGAGAAACTGGGGGGTATTTTTGCAACATATACGCGAACGCCATTCTTTGTAATTGTTTATTATGATTGCATTACTTATATATAAACCGTTTTTTACAATTATGCGCCTTTTTTTTTGAGCCTTCTCATTGGCCGAAGTTGTCCCTGTCAATGTCATTTTGGCGTTCAAAGGTCGTTTCGGTTTGGGCCGCTATTCTTTAGAGTCACCCAGTGTTAGCTTGTAGTTTCGCATAGCAACTCAAAAAACCACTTTTGCAGCTGCGCAGAATTTTTTTCTCTTCTCCCTGAAATAGCGTCCAGTCACGTGATGACATAGCACTCACCTAGATATACGCTGTTCACTGGTTTACAGTTTACAATTTATTTAGGATAGTAGGCTATATGCCTGTGTTAATCCTTTCGATTTATTTCATACAGGAGGTCCAATCTCGCCTTGAATGAATCAACGGATGGCGCTGATACGACGTGTTCCGGTAGGGAGTTCCAATGGTTCACAATTCGATGCGAAAAACGGATTTCCAGACGCAGACGATTCGACCGTGGTTTTTGGACCTTGAGGTGATGTCCTCGCAATTGGTTGGTGCTAGAAGGACCATAACTACCAGCAGTAAACGCAACGAAGTTTGGATTGTCGCTCAACTTTGATGGTGACCTTAGTAAACGGTTTACAATTTAACATTTTTAAGAACCTGTTCTGATTGCTTTTACAATGATTGAAAAATTGAAACTTCTGAAAAATTATTGATCTATGATACTTCAGGATTGTAATTTATAACATTACTGATTGTGCCTGTAAAAATGGCACGCGTTTCTTATAAACTTACCCGTTTATAAGAAATATAAATTATTATTATGACAAACGAGTGATTGCAGATGAAACCCTGTAACGTCGAGGGAAGAGAGACGAACTCCGTTACCTTGATAGGGCTCCGTTGGCGGTAATTAGCCGCAGTTGGTTGGGGAGGGATTTAGGGTTGACCCCCAATCGCTGAGTAAACTCTGTGCGGAAAACAGAGGACGATGCCCCGGTGTCAAACAGAAAACTTACGTTTATGTCCTGAATTTGCCCTCAGGGATAAGGGAAGTGTCAATGTAGTTGAAGATTGAACGATCAATTCATGGTTGTTTGCTCAAACCCAACTCCTTCATTTTTTTCGCGTGAGTCACCAATCCAGCAGTCATCGTCTCATCGTTCGCTGTTCAAGGGAAGATAAAAAAACTATCAGAAGTATTAACGTAATTTATCGTTACCACATTTTTCCTTAGAACTTGTGTAATAACCTTATTGCTGGTTGAATGTTGGCGTAAGAATAAACGATTCTTGAGTCACCAATCAGTGTTCTGGTTTTCGCGTTGGTTAATACAAAGTGTTTCTGAGAGTCTTCGAGGGACAACGTGAGGTCCAGCGTAGCAAGAGCTGGACACTGACAGTTTATGAGACTTGACTGACAGGGAGATTTCAAACAATGGCTAAGTAAGGACACATTATGAGGTAGTTAACCATGAGGTCTTTGTTATGACCACATTTCCACGCTCTGTGACCGAACCGACGAAAATTATAACATTTGCCTGGGTCGCTATTTGGTTTAGGAGGAATCGCAGATGGCTTTGTAGGTGGGGCTGGTGATGGAACGTTAGGGCACCGTTTTCAGGGGGGCTGGGACGGGTGTGCTTCTCCCAGCGGTCCCCAATGAACAACAAGACGTACGGCAGTTGATGAAAGATTGTGCTCCACACTCTCGAATCGTTTGACTACCTCGAGAGCTTCTGAGATAGGTTTGACTGGTTGCGGAGTAGCTGGCACTCAAGCTCGAACGACAAGAGGCCTTGTGCAAAGTGGGTGCAAATAACCTAATCATGGCTTGGATTAGGAAGGGTGGGGAATGCATAAGACGCAATCTCGCGAAGCTGATGGAGATATTTGGCAGCTGTTTTACCTGGCTCTTGACAACGGCTTAGGAAAGTGTGCATGTACGTGGAGGTGTTAGACGTTTTTGCGAAGCATTCATCTAAGATGCACCAGTTTTAGCTGAGAGGCTTGAATGCAGAGAATCCCCCAGCGATTCCATGACATAACGCGGCGTCACTGAATGCTAGCATGGTCTGATTAAAATAGGCTTGTGGAGGCAGCACTGTTAAAAGGGACTCCAGACGAAATTTCCACAACTCATAGTCGCTGTTCATGTCCAGCGTTGGTGGTCCTCTCACAGGGAGGATGTGTTCTATGGATGGAAGATGTGTGTTGGCTTTCTAGTTGGAGACTATTTCAAGGGGTTCGAATGAGTTTGATTTCACATTTAGACTGAATTTGGAACACCTCCGACACCAACTTGTCACAGGTAAACCAACAGGATCACGGGTAATGAAAGCAGAACACGAGCCGTGTAGGAGAGCGTTTATTCCACAAAATTGACTTTTAAAATGCGCGAGAGTACAGTTTAAGAGTATAATAGTTTTACTGGTCTTCGTTGGTGTTGAGGTTCTGCTACTCGTGTTTCTCCTGGTCCAGAAAGTTGACTTCCGGGTATCTTCCTGCAAGTAGAGAAAATAAAATATTGATTAGCTTTATAACACTGGTTTTTTTAATTTAAGCCCACCCTGTAACGTGACCTTCAGTTGTTTTGAGCTTTTCTGACATATTCAACCATCACTCGTGCGTGTCCTAGCTTATGCGCAATGTGCTAACTCTCATTGTTCCATCGCATACACATCCTGTGTTAGTTACATATATTAAATATGCTTACTCCGTGTATACATTATCGTCATAATGATGATGCCTGTAAACTGGCGTCCCTCATGAGAATATATTATTGTACATATTGTTAGCTTCTTAAATTTGGAATAGACCACCAGCTGATGTGTGTGATGCAAACACACTTCGAATTTTCATCCCCTCATTCATCAGACTACTCAAAGGTGACATTGCTCTTCTGTGTCTCACTATTACACCTTCATTCTCACCCCACACAGATACAATAAGCTAAAATAATAGATGTAAGTATTATTGGAAGGATATGAACAACATTTCTACACAGGCCATTAATATTAGTTCACACATATTACAAAAGTTTGCAAACGGTACTAGTTAGTTAGTGTATCGGTATAATCATAGATTATGCACAGAATATGTACATATATTAATTTATAAACCACTCTTTGGGAACTCGGCTTGCTTTCTTCTGTGTTGCTGACATTCGCCTCCTTTTTTCTGTCACCAATTTTGATTCTATTTAACAATCTGAATGAGGATAAATGATGCAAATATTTGACCATTTACAATAAGAAATGATCTGCAAACACTCTTGGCCGCAAATCCTATAACTGCCTCGTGAATTACTCATTATCTTCCTCCGCGACGCACCCTAGATGGAATTTGTGGAATATTACGTTTATGCCAATAAAATATCCAACAAATAACCGTACGTAGTCAATAAATCTAGTTCATCAAGAAATGATGAACATATGATGGTGGTTCCATTTGGAATCTCACTAACTCGCGTGATGATAATTTTCAGCTCCTATGTGATCCAATTGCCCTTTTTGTACAGAATTATTCACCATTATTTTGGTTCCTGACCGCGTATGGACTGAAAATGACCTGTTACTGTAACAACACTGGGTGCGCGCATCGAAAAAGAGGGTGGTATTTTAACGTCTGCTTTCGTCATTAACTTTAGCAAGGACAATGCGACATTTGAGTTCCTGCCAGACATGCTGACGACTTCGTACTTAACCACTTCAGGACGTGTAGTAATAGAAATAGCTGTCTAGTGGTAGGTGACCTTAATGCCCCACAGACTAATTAGGAGGAATTAACATCATCTACCTTGTTCAAATTTTCCACCAGGGAACTAATGGTGACGGTGCTTGAATGCGCACTTTTGCAGAGCAATACTACATGATCCGTCCACTCTAGACTTGGTGTTTACACATCAGTAAGAGAATATTGGTGACGTTATGTGCCCGGAACAGCTAGGCTGTAGTGATCACGACGTTTTAACTTTTACGTTTATAATTCACACAGTGACACATACGTCGACAGCCGCTCGTCCAAATATTTGGAAAGTGAATATACCTGCAATTCGAAATGCGGCAATCCTAGCTGACTGGCGTGTTGCCACATACCAGACTGTCCAGAAAGCTTGGATGGCATTAAGGAATAAAGAAGATTGCACCAGTACACCCATGGTCGTCGCCTTGAAAGCTATCGCATAAAGCACCTTGGATTAGTGATGAAATAATATTACTAAGAAAACATAAGAACTTATGGGACCTATTTTCTGTGACTGGGAGGGATGAGTTTCAAATAGAATACCGCTAAATTCGAAACCTTTGTAGGTCTATAATTGATAAAAGTCGTATAAATTATGAGAGACGGTTAGTATTAGATTGTGTACATTATCCATAAAGACTGTACTCGTATATCAAACGTAGGACTAAAACTAGCAGTGGAATGCTACTATGCGTAAGCAATACTGGAAAAGTGGCCGAGTCGGGCGAAACAGAAGCGGAAAATCTCTCGAAATAACTTTGCAATGTATTTCTGTGCAATCGAACTACTCAGGGGTATAACGGGGTCAATTATTTAGCCACCAAAATGTTCCAGTTGTAGCAGAGAATGCAGCGGTCCTCAAACTACCATCTGAAAGGAGGCCAGGTAAATTACCTGGACCTACGGACTTCACCCTAGACTGTCATTCCCATTGGTGGCTATTAAATGCATTCCACTTTTCAAATGTCTCTCAACCAGGTAAGGCTACCCAGGGACTGCAAAGACGCTTCTTTTTTTTATTTACAGCTTGATTCCTCACTGTATTTTTGGTACAAGTATGGAATTTTCAGCATGGATATCGGTAGCCCAAATTTTGCAGGCCGACCATAGATATCAGGTGTGCGTCGGTGCGGGCTCGAACCCCGGACCATGTGCATGGTCGGCGAGAGTCCTGACCACTGTGCCACCGACGCACAGCCTCATCTCTAAAGAGGAGAACGTGCAGTTAATACCTAACTACCAGCAAGTTATTCTGACTTGTATTATAGCAACGGTATTAAAAACACTCATAAGGGGTAAACTCTTAGTCCATATGACGAATAATGGTATACTGGCAGGTGAGTAACATGGATTCCGACCAGTACGATGCTGCCCGACAAACGTACTGTGAGGTAGGGAAGGTAAAGTAGAAGTCACGGATAAAAAAATCTATTGGATGTTGTCTTTATCTATTTTACTAAAGCATTAGATAAGGTGTCCTACTGAGGTCTTGGTAAACTCAGACGTTTTGGATCAGACGAACTCCTATGTGAGTGATTTGGCGACTACCTGATGGGTAGAGGGCAGGAGGTAAGGGCTAATGGTGTCCTGTCAGGGTGGAAATCAGTACTTAGTGTTCTGTTAGCATTTATAGAGGATTTCTACGTACTTATACCATTCCTATGTCAAAAGGGACTGTTCTCCTGAGACGTGAAGTCTTCAATGAATGGTACAGTGCCGAAAGAAGCAGCTTCTACATGGAGTAGACGATATGTACAGATAACATTACTCTCCAACTATCCTATCCTCCTAATTATACCAATATTTTGACACCATCCACCTGAAACACTAATCATTGCAACCAATGTGGTAAGAGTGTGTCGCAGTCAGATCACATGACGCGGACACCAACATAAGTAGCCGGGAAATGGCGATTCCCATCACTCCAGATAACATGTAACACAATATTATTAAAAATTATTGGCAAAATATTTCCGAGTGGAATTTCAACAGAACGTGATATTTAAGTCCAGCCGTACATAACACTTGCAGTGACATCCTCTCAACATGCTGAAAGTTTCACGATATACAAGTGAGAAGGCAAAATAACGCAGATAATGAAGATTGTGTGGTTGACAGTGAGCAGGACACTGAGAAAAGCGGGTGTACATACCACTTTCAGCTACATCCTCTCAACATGCTGATAATTCCACGATATATATTATTCATATTATTCTTCAAATTTATTCAGCTGACAGTTGTTACGTTTTCTTATTTCTTTTTCTGTCTGTTAGTCTGAATAACTTCACTAATTATATCTATTATTATCACTATCTCTCTTCTTTTGACGATACTGGTGAAAGAATCAACTCCGTTCACAGTACTAACAGTCTTAACACACCTCATACAACAAACAACATATAATTAATCCCATTACTACTCCTTTTGGGGTCAATCCAAGCTATGACCGTCGAGTGGCGGGACGAGCTACGCAGAAGTTTACCAAAGATCTGGAACCTATACTTCACAATCAAGAGGCGAGCTCAAAGAAATCAATTCCGTTTATGCTAGCTCGTTAAAACGATATTGGACATCGGATATTACGGAGCGGTAAATTGATTGATTGCGTTACGGTAAGTAGGGTGTTAAATACTCAACGAAACGTGTCCTGATTTTAACTCACTCACACTTTGATATGTCTAGTTGGTTAAACAGTAGGATTCAAACTGTTGGCGACAGGGTTTTGCTGATTGTCTATACTCACTATATATTGTGAGCACTGCACTGTACGTATATAAAACTTCAGTACAATATGAGGGTATCAAAAGAAGTATGTATACTCTGGTCAGGTATATTCTCGAAATGCCCTTGGGCAATGCGGATAAAGGATGGTTTGAATGCTACATTATTCACCCACTTTACCCATATTAGCCACTTTTCCCCCGTTTGCCCATTCAGATTTTCATATTCAGATTTTTTGGTTGAGGATAGAAGGCTTGCAGCCTATGTTAATCCTTTTCTAGTAGATTTCTGTGGTTGTCCAAACCCTTCTTGAACGAATCAATTGAGGTTGCAGACACCACTTCTTCTGGGAGTCGGTTCCAAGAGTTTATGACTCGATGTGAGAAGCAGTACTCAACAGCAATATGATTTCTCCTTGGCTTTTGAACTCTCCTGCTATGTCCTCTAAGGTGTTCCGACCTGGTGGGAAGGAAAAGAAAGAATAGGTCAGGTCCGTAGTCATTATTTAAAATTTTAAACATTGTGGTTAAATCTCCTCTCTGCCTACGGTATGACAGTGAGAAGAGATTTGAACTATCTAGTCTTTCCTCGTATGATAAGTTAGCTATGCCGTGAACCATACGTGTTGCCTTCCTTTGAACCCTTTCTAGAATGTGTGAATCCCCTTTTAGACAAGGATTGGCGGCCTGGATGCAGTTTTCCAGTCTTGACCTAACCATAGATGTGTATAAGGAGGTGAACATATCTCTGGTAATTCTTGTAAAGGCTCTGCGAATCGCCCATAGGGACCTGAAACTACGTGCAGCCACCGCGCGACAGTGTGCTGTAGTTTTAAGTCGTGGCTAACTATGACACCTAAGTCCAAGTGAGTCTGAACTGATGGAAGTGTTATTCCCTCTAATTCGTAGGGGCTTGTGCTTGATTGTCCAATGCGCATGGTTGCACATTTTGCGACATTGATCGGGAGCATCCGTTCAACAGACCACTCCGACAATTTGTTGAGGTCCTCTTGCAACGTGAACGTATCACTGTTGCCCTTCAGCTCTCTCCAAATTTTTAAGTCATCTGCGTATAGGACCATAGGGGAGTCGGTGAGCAGAGGTAACTCATTGATATACAGAATAAAAAGGAGAGGACCGAGAACCGTGCCTTGTGGCACTCCGCTACTTACTGCTGTCCAGGAGGAGAGTTTTGAGTTGATCCTAACCCTCTGCCTCCTATCTATGAGGAATTCCCTGAGCCAGTCTAGTAGTCTGCCTTTGATACCAAGACTTTCCAATTTCATGAGTAGTCTTTTGTGAGGTACTTTATCAAAGGCTTTACTGAAGTCTATGAAGACGACGTCAACGGGTCTTCTGTTATCCTTTGATTTGACCCAGCTTTCTCTTGCAGTCAGGAGATTTGACAGGCATGAGAGGTTCCTCCGGAAGCCATGCTGTGCTCCAGATAACAAGCTGCTATTTTCCAGATAAGCCATGATGCTTTTCTTGATAATTCTTTCCAGTGTCTTGATTAAAGTGCTGGTGAGACTGATAGGCCTGTAATTTGAAGGGCTTTGTCTTGATCCTCCTTTGTGTATGGGGGTTACTATGGCGTCTTTCCAATCACGTGGCAACACTCCATTTAGGAGAGATAGCTTGAAGATCGTGGTCAAGGGGCCGGCTATGTGGGCTGATAGCTCCTTGAGAAGCCTTGGATGAAGATTGTCAGGGCCCATTGATTTCCCTGCATCTAGTTTCACTAAGCAGTTGAGCACGATGCCTTGTTCGATGTCAACGGAATCTATCCCATGTTCTTCTGATGCAGCCAGAGCTGATCCTATAGGCACTGATGACTCCTGAGTGAAGACTTGGGAGAAGTAGTTTGCCATTGCTTCTGCTTTTTCTTGATCTTCTTCGATTGTATCTTTGTCAATAATCAGGTTGGACACCATGGTTTTTATTCCTGAAATTAAGTACGAGAAAATTTTCTTAGGTTGTGCCTTTGCATTTTGGGCCAGGTGTGTCTCGAACTTCATCCTTGATTGGCGGATTTCTGCGATAGCTTTATTTCTAGCAGTAGTATATAATTCCCTGGTCTCAGAAGTCTCAAGTGTTGCAAACAGGTTCCAACATTTGCGTTTACGTCTGAGTAACTTACGAATCTCCCGGTTTATCCAAGGGGGGAATGTTTCCGACCCTTTGGAACAGACCAAGGGATGAAGGGTACAGTTACTTGGGCGTAAAGTTGCTTAAATTGGTTCCATGCGGCTTCTACTTGGGACTCTGGATTGATGTACCAGTTTACTGAGTTGGCTGCTGAGACGATCGCATTTATGTCAGCTTTCCAAACGTTTGGTCGAGCTGGGGTTTTGGCCCTTGCTGCCGTTGCTGTGAACTTGAAAGTGAGCACAGCATGGTCACTTCTTCCTAACGGAGGAAGATGTTGTATGAGATCCACATCCTCACCGTGTGAGAACACTAGGTCCAGAGTTGACGAGGAGTGCTGTGAGTCATAGCGCGTGGGCTTAATGATATGTTGGACTAGGGCTAGCGATATACTAGATTCTAGCAGTTTATGATCAAAGGAGTTGACTAAGATGGAGTTGTTAGGCTCGACCAGTCAACTGTTGGGGCGTTGAAGTCACCGACTACGAGACTTCGACATTTTGAAGTCCAGGAGCCTAGCTTCTCTATTAGGAAGTCGTCTGCACTGCAGTCAGGACTGCGGTACACAGCAATGAGGTCAATGTCTTGGCCTATGCATTTAAGTCTGCAGCGTAGAAGTTCGCACGACTCACTTTCGTGGGCGAGTGCTTCGATACTACGCACGGTTAAGCCTTTCTTGAGGTAGATGACTACGCCCACCCCTTTGCGGTTTAGTCGGTCTACCCTGTGCACTTCGAAGTTTGGCAGGTTAACTTCGTTGTCAGTGACATCGGGTGTGAGCCATGTCTCTGTGATAATAATTACATCCGGGTTTCCGGTTTCTATCATGTTTGCCAGCTCAGTCCTTTTATTTAACAGGCTGCGGGCGTTTGTGTAGCAGACTGTTAATTCAGATTGGTGCTTCCCCGGCCCACCCACAGAGGTTTCGGGATCATTAAACTGCGAACTCGGACAACCCGAAAACCCTTAATCTTAAGGTTCTTCTCACCGTTCCGGCGTCGCTCACTTAATTCTAGTGCCGCAGCCTGTCTTTTGACACGGTCTGCTAGGCTTAAGTCAGCGCGGACATATATCCCTGATCCTTTGAGAATATGAGAGTTGCTTAGAATAGCATCCCTCTCTGCTTTAGAGTTTAGTACGACTTTGAGGAGACGTACAGGTTCACTTACTGTAGGGTCAGGCTTTTGACCTATTCTGTATACGCTGTGTATAGTAATGCCTGATACTGTTTGTGGCAGTAGCTTGTCTAAAAGGGGCTTGACCAAGTTAAGGTCATGCTCGAATCTGGTCTTAGGGTCGAGGGCCAGTGACTCCTCCACTTTGTGGAGAATGAGAGACCTGTCAGAGAGATCGGGTTTGCTTTCCGTGACTTTCTTGCCCTGAGGCGTAAGTGTGTTTCTATCCTTCTTGGGCGGTGTGGCCGAAGTGTTATCCTTATCTCGCTTTTTGCGAGAGACTACGGTGCGCCATTCATTGGCGTCCTCCTCGCTAATCGTAATGGGGTTCGTCTGTCTGCTGCTCACCGGTGTGGATGAGGCTTGTTCCGCCAGTCCCTGGGCGACTGGAGCTGCAGGTTTTCGACCCCTGGTACGCCTCTTCTTCACGGCAGTCTTTCCATTACTGTCACTGGAGGGCTCATCCAGTATCGTGGGGGCGACCTGGGTGTCTGTAATGTGGTGGGTGTTCTTCTGTGCTGTAGAGCACTCACTTATTGGCAAGGTCGCATCGGGGACATGTGCTGTTTTGTCAATGACGCTAGTCACGTCATCGCTATCTGAGCAATAGTCGGTATTCTTCTGTGGTGGAGGACGCTTGCAGTCCATGAGCTTTAAAGCCCCACTAAGAGTAGCTATGGCTTCTGTAATACGGAGTTTAGTTGTACTACAGCAGTCGTTGCACAACCAGTTCGCTAGAGGTTTGCAGCAGCGTTTGTATGCTGCTGGAGTAAGGTTCGTGCACATACTGTGAAACCATCTCTTGCAGTTATCACACTGCATTCCCTCATCCACTGGAAACTGGCACATAGCCCTTCCGCAGCGGTTTCTTTTGATAGGCATTTTATTTAAAACAAACCAGGAAAAATTAAATACAACTTCAAATATATATATATAATAACCTTTATAAATCAGTGATAAAAGCTAATGAGTGCACAAAGATAGATATATGTAGCTATTATGTTATAAGAACACAACTTCCTATAGGTAATAGACTCAAATCTGAAACGTAAACTAACTTCGATCAGAATAAACTGATTTAAAGTTAAATCTGTGGACTTATGGAGCGTATAACACAACAAAAGCCAATTATAAACAAGAGCGTGAAAATTAACTCCCTTTTCAAAGTTCGCGCGGTCCTGAAAAATTTAACTGTCCCACTTTTTGCCAATTTTCCCACTCGACCCACGTTTTCACCCATTTATCCCATATGCAGAAAGTCTAAAAGTACCCAATTTTACCCCTCTCACCGAATTTTCAACAGTTTACCCACTTTTTCCCGTTCACCCACTTTGGACAACATATATATTGTTTTTCATTTGTAAAAAATTATATTTGTAAAATCTCAGCAAGATTGAAATGAGTAATTCCAACGTTTTCTTCGGCAATCTGGTCCGAACTTCTTCAGGGAAATTAATCGAAATCAATCATTTAATCTCGCTGAGATTTTCAAATATAATTTCCTACAAATGTCTACTTCTCACTCGGCGCCCAAATATTTTAGAACCATTCTGTCAAATCTTGACGACAGTTCAGTTGTTGTCCATTGTTCGGTTATATGGAGCGTTAACATGATACAATGCTTACATAAAGTTTTCCCTAATACGATATACAGCTAAAAGTAAATTCTGTAAATTCTTTTGATTCATGGGAGAACAGGATAAAAGCCCTTCCTCAATAATGTGAGGTGAGGTTTTAGCTCTGCCGTAGAACATAATTCCACGTTAGACAATATTAATATCTGGGGCATGTTTTGAACATAAGCTCTTGCACACAATGATACCATTATATAAGCGTGACTTGGTAGCTCAGCACTACTTCCTCCTATTTCTTATTTCCTAAACATCAAGGATCGGCGTTGCATCATCCCTATCACACGTGTGTGGTCTTGGTTTAATGATCAAAGACTGTGTGATCAGTCTCTATCCACCTGACCATATTTTTTAAAAATATTTCTATTGTGTCCAAACATGTGTGCTTATTTGCATGGGCATTCATTGCACTAACACAGCTTTTCTCGTCAGTCGTTGAATGAAAACTATATCAATTTTCTTATTGGTCTTTACACTTGCAAATAAATTCAAGTGTTTGGTTATTCAACAGCTAGAATGAAGTTTAATACTCTCACTTTAAGGAAGCTAGCAAATGAATAATTGGAGTATCCAGTTAGCAAATTCCTTGAGACGACAATGGACATTTCTTATGGCGAAGTGAAAAAGCTTGAATAGAACTAACAACAGTTTCAAAGCATTTGATTGAACTAGAAAAACAAGAAATAATTTCAATCGGACTTTGACCATTATTTGAAGGTGATCACATAAGAGAAGCCAGAGTTATGCATAGATTGAAAATAAGTCAGAATCGACTGATATTAGAGATATTATCCATTTGTTAACCTTTCCATAAAGTGGGTCCAGTATTCATGTTATTTTAAGAGTTAAGAACTACCTTTGGAATAATATAACAGTTAGGTGTCAGGTTGGATGTCAGATTTATGAGGTTATGCTTTGGTGTGTGATTGGTAGCCGGCTTTAGGCTAATTAATTTCAGTAGCTAACAAGTTACTCTCTGTGGTCTGTGTAAATGTCTCTGGTCACTCCTAAGTTACTATAAGCATGGTGAAGTGTGTGGGTAATTGTCACTTCCTAGTTCCCCACGCAGCGGAATTTGATTTAATCGTGAAGTACGTGACTGCAAAACCCAGAAGACAACTACTTGAGGTCAGTCAAACACGGCCTGTTTGTAGTGGTCAAGTTGTGTTCCTTAGGAGGTCTGACCACTGTCTACAGACCGTCGTAAGGGAAGTGGAGATGGTATAGTTTTCGGGATTGACCTTCCATAGCCTCCACCTCTTCAGAATGGAGTAGCAGTTTGTTTGGCTTCGCAGTCTCATCGCTTGGCTGGATATCTCATCGCCACCAGGCTATTCAGCAAACACCAAACGAGTATTCCTTTTCCAAGCTGCTATTTTTATGAGGAACTGGTCTATCAAAGAATTTGCTTTAAATTTTTTAGGGGTTGTTTTATGAGGTGGTATTGTTATTGTTGTAGTTAATAAACTGGCATACCGGGTTCCAAATGGTTACTAAGGTCATCTTATGTTCACGTAAACCTCTGGTTTCACAAAAACGAGCAAAGAATTAATACCTTACTGTAGAGGAAATTTAGCAGCGATATAAAATTTCTCTGACCCCCTCTCTCTCTCTAAACTTAATTCATTTTCGCATAAAATTATGCAAATGAAACTTTCCACCTTAGCTTGATTATTTTACATCGTAGAGAGATTTGTCATTGAATAATTCTGTCCAAGTAGTGGGAGATAACTAATTATACGTTTTCTGACGTGTAGGCAGATTATTACAATAGCCACGCGCACACACACACCTCTATGAACCTCTAGATATATGCCGTAAAGACTTATATTTTCACTGATGAATTACTAATTATTCGATTCCATTATGGAATTATACTCTACCACACTGCCAGTTTTATCCTTATTAATACTAACTGTTTGGCGTAACACTAAATAAACACTGAATACATTAGACAAAGATGTACGCTTATTTATCGGAATTTCCCCCCTTATTTTTCGTATCGTCATACTCTTGTTTGAACTTGTTTACTTTTTTCATGAATTTAAACACTGAATTATATGTAACTTATATTTAGCCATGTCACAGTCACGTCAATCAACCTCGTCAATTCCTCCTGAACTTCGAGTAGATTTAAGTGAAATAGTCGAAGACTTGTTAGCCTTTCACTATGATGATATCAGCACTTCTCTGTCCGACAACACAAACTCTACAAACTCTACTTTGACAACTAGTGGATCAAACAGTGCTGATCTAATTCGTCGGCTTACTCGTATGCGTTCAAGCATACAACGAGCTCAAGAAGCAGTACGTAAACTTACCACTTTTGATCTAGATCTTCCTGCTCAAGAGAAGCTATTATTAGCTGTTGCCAACTCTTGTGTAACTAAACGTCATTTAGTATGCATGCTGAAGACTGAACTTGAAAAGTTATCGTCTAAAGATTCTGACTGTTATTTTGAGTGATTCTTTTCTTCTTCTTCCTACTACTTCTTTTCTTGTGATATCCCTTTCTTGATAATTGTGTACAGTTTTTATAGAAATATTGACAAAATAAATTTATTTCCACGAAGTTTGCGTCTTGTTTTTCTCCTGGTTGCTTTCTTCTTTGTCTGATTAGTGTTTTTTTATTAGCGTATGTTACATTGCATAAATTACAGGATTTCATTGTGAGCTGACATTGGTTAGAGAACCATTGGAAAACCTGAGAGTACTGAACAACTGTTTCGTCCTAGTTTGGGACTCTTCATCGGTACGCGCTCAGCGCCATGGTTCGAACCCAAGACCTTCTGGTTACAAGGCTAGCGAGCTCGTAGACCATTAAGCCACTGGGACTCGATCCAATGGCCCGCGTATTCTAACTTCTGCCGATTCACGACATAACGCGACCCCAGCCAATGTTTTCGGTGAGTATTTGTCCTCACACCCGATCTGCTGCACCCTATTGGTAACGACTTCCCACTGCAACCCCAGGTAACTACCTACCTGAATCGGGCAAGTCACTAGTGAGCATCTCATTGATATTCAAGTGTTGGTTGAAACCTGTAACCTGTAAATTATTTAACCTGTACAATCGATGTATTAGTGAACCGGTTGTTTGAATATTTTCGTAGGCGTTTTCAGAGATTGGTTGATCGTTATTTAGCCTCATTGACATTCCAATTATTTCTGTTTGTTTTGGTGTCTGAAAAAATTGACTACATTTTGTCAATATCGAGTCTGTTTTTATCTATCAAGACGTGTGCCTGCCTATACCTTTATGTATGTATGTATGTTCGGAGACGCATATAAGACCCGAGTGTGGTCATTCACTTGACCTCACCCGGTCAACAAGGCGAATTTGCAAAATTCACTTTAAGGGTGTCAGGAGACCCCCCAGGTAGCTCGCGAGAACTCTCAGGTGTAGGGATAACACTGAGTGTTAGGACAGAAAAATCACCTCTTGACTGGATCCCAGTAGATAGTCGTATGTGTGCGATCCATCTGAATGGGTCCGTTAAATGAAGGAAAGATGGCGCTACCCGTCGTTGCCTTTTCGTAGTCTTCGCTTACGCTCCAAAAGACTGCAGTTCGGACGAACTAAAAGATGACTTTACCTGAAACTGTCTGATTTGCTGCAAAAAGCAAAACGTTCATATATAGTTGTTTTAGCAGGCGACTTCAATGCCCAAGTTGTGCCAGACTGAGAAGTATGTAGGTGGTACGTATGGAGTCCCCTGCCGACGAACTGACAACGGTGATCGTCTTCTACAGTTTTGCTCAGATAATCATCTGTTCCTAGTCAGCACTAACTTTAGGCACAAACAGAGACATTGTTTAACCTGACGACCTCCATCACCAAATCAACGCTGGACTCAGGTAGACCATATAGCGGTAGGGTATCGTTGGCGAGTGTCAGTAGAAGACGATCGCTCCTTCTGGAACACGTGCGTAGACTCTGATCACGCTCTGGTTCGCGCACGTTTATGCTTACGACTGAATGGACATAAGAAATTGACGACAGCGAAACAGTTACGTCCCCAACTAGATTGTGACACCGAGTCCTTATTTAAGGAAGAAATAGCTAAACGAGTTTCTGAGGTTGACAGCAGGACTTCCCCCTGAGGTAGCCTGGCACAACATGCAGTTAGCTGTAGACACAGCTGTGAAAGCTGTTAATAAGCTAAAACCTACAGTTAGTAAAAGCCATTGGATCTCTAGGCAGCGTCTGGGAATCAGAAGAAGTCCCATCGGGTTGGTGTAAGTCACTGATTATCCCCACATACAAGAAGGGAGACAAGTCTTCCTGTGATAATCACAGAGGGATTAGCTTGACTAATATAGTATCTAAAGTCTTAGGCTCAGTAATCATGCGTAGACTGAGTGGTGCTCGGGAAGCACAAACACGAGAGAGCCAGGCAGGCTTTAGACCAGGAAGAGGGTGTATTGATATCTATGGTCGGCCTGCAAAATTTGGGCTACCGATATCCATGCTGAAAATTCCATACTTGTACCAAAAATACAGTGTGGAATAAAGCTGTGAATCAAAAATTAAAAATTAAAAAAAATTATCTTCACCCTCCGACAGATTCTAGAACATAGGCATTCCTACCGGCGTCCAACAGTCATTATATTTCTTGACCTAAAGGCAGCATTCGACTCTGTCGATCGGGAAGTTCTCTGGAGATGCTTGGCTGTAAAGGGAATTCCAAGAAAATATATTGCACTGATTAAGGCACTCTATTCGTACTCATACAGCCAGGTGAGGGCTTACGGCGAGCTGTCATCTGAACTGATGACGACCAGTGGTGTCCGTCAAGGATGCCCATTATCTCCTTTTCTATTCAACTTCATCATAGATGTGTTAATGGACTTAACCCTAGGTGACTTCAGTGACTCAGGGATTGACTTGCTACCGGGGAATAATCTCGACTTGGAATATGCAGACGATATAGTCCTTCTAGGCGAAGACGCTGACGAAATGCAGAGTCTTCTAAACACCTTGAGCCGCAATCTACGAATGTTTGGCATGCGATTCGCTCCCACCAAATGCAAGATGATGTTACAGGACTGGACTACATCGACGCCTAGTTTAAAAATTGGAAGTGAAGTGGTAGAGCACGTTGACCGCTTCACTTATTTGGGAAGTACCATCAGCCCCAACGGGCTGATCTCTGACGAAATCTCAGCACGAATACAAGGGGCTCGTTTCGCATTTGTTAGTTTACGCCGACTCTGGCGTAGACGAGATGTTCGACTATCGACCAAAGGGCGGGTGTACTGCTCATCAGTCCGCTCCGTCTTCCTTTATGGTTGTGAGACCTGGCCACTGAGAGTGGAAGACATGAAAAGACTAGCTGTCTTTGATCATAGGTGCCTGCGTTCTATTTCCCGTGTAAAGTGGCATAATAAGGTGAGCAACATGGAGGTTAGGCGTAGAGTTCTAGGTAAACAGGGGAAATCAATCGACGAAGTCGTGAAGCTACAAAGACTGAGATGGTTAGGACATGTGTTACGTATGCCAAGCCATCGCCTCCCTCGACGAGCAATGTTAGCGGATATAGGGTCAGGCTGGAAAAAAGCTAGCGGCGGTCAAACAAAAACTTGGCATCAATCAATGAAATCCACAACATTTGGTCTAAGCCACGTGGGAAGGTGTAGACTTCCAGGCTGGGGTCCTCGGGACGGTAAAAATCTATGGTTGGAAACATTTGGTGACATGGCTAGCTCAAAATCGTTCTCAGTGGCTAGCGCAGATGCATCCACTCCCTGTGACTTATGATCTTCAATGAAACTGTTTTGTATTTCTTTATTACTCCTTTGTCTCACACCTCTGCTCACTGTTTCTATTATGCTTTTCTTGTACTTTCTTCTCTTGCTTCGCGTGCTACACGGAGTGTGGCGACTTGAACTTCCGCACATTTGTGCAAAGTTCTATGTCGAAAACAGACAGACAGACAGACAGATTGGATCTCTACCACCTCATCCGAATTGATTGACGCAAGAAGGCTGATTCCAGTTAGCCCCGATTATTATTTTTTAAAATTTTATTTTTGATTACAGCTCGATTCCACACTGTATTTTTGGTACAAGTATGGAATTTTCAGCATGGATATCGGCAGCCGAAATTTCGCAGGCCGACCATAGATATCAGGTGTGCGTCGTTAGGGGATCAAACCTCGGATATGTGCATGGTCGGCGAGAGTCCTAACCACTGTGCCACCAACGCACGAGGAGCGAAAGGTACTCAAACGAAAACTAACAAAAAGTCTTCGCAACGACGGTGAACAGTGGTGGGCGACAAAAGGGAAAGAGCTGGGAAAAGCATCGGCGATAGGCAACACTAGGCAACTCTTTAGACTTATCAGGGAAACGGGTGGGAGAAGGCAAATCATAAGTGAAACAATCTCGGAGGAAAATGGCACCATAATTCTCAGGGTAGACGACTAGAACGCTGGAAAGAGCACTATGAGGAGCAGTTTAATTGGCCTACAGCCACGCTTAACCTGCTGAACATCCAACACCTCCCTGAATGGGATATAGACATAGATCCTCCTTCGTTAATTGAGGTTACTAAAGCTGTCACCAATCTGAAACAAGGCAAAGCAGCGGGACTTGATGGAATGACTCCAGATGTATTTAACTACGGTGGAGACAGTTTACTGTCTGCATTAACTGAGGTTCTAAGCAGCGTCTCGGAATCAGAGGAAGTCTCAGACAAGCTTTAAGCAGGAAGAGGTTGCATTGATCATATCTTTACCCTCCGACAGATTCTAGAACATAGGCATTCCTACCGGCGTCCAACAGTCATTATATCTCTTGACCTAAAGGCGGGATTCGATTCTGTCGACCGAGAGGTTCTCTGGAGATGCTTGGCTGTAAAGGGAATGCTGTGAAAATACATTGCAATGATTAAGGCACTCTACTTGAACTCATACAGGCAGGTGAGGGCTTTGTGTGCGTCGGTGGCACAGTGGTTAGGACTCGCGTCGACCATGCACATGGTCCGGTGTTCGAGCCCACGCCGACGCACTCCTGATATCTATGGTCGGCCTGCGAATTTTGGGCTACCGATATCCACGCTGAAAATTCCACACTTGTACCAAAATACGGTGTGGAATCAAGCTGTAATCAAAAATAAATAAAATAATAATACAGTGAGCTGTCATCTGAACTGGTGACGACTAGTGGTGTCCGTCAAGGATGCCCATTATCCCCTCTTCTATTCAACTTCATCATAGATGTGTTAATGGACTTAAACCTAAATGACTTCAGCGATTCAGGGATTGACTTGCTACCAGGGAATAATCTCGTTGACTTGGAATATGCAGACGATATAGTCCTTCTAGGCGAAGACGCTGACAAAATGCAGAGTCTTCTAAACACTTTGAGCCGCAATCTACGAATGTTTGGCATGCGATTCGCTCCCGCCAAATGCAAGATGATGTTACAGGACTGGACTACACCGACTCCTAGATTAGAAATAGGGAGTGAAGTGGTAAAGCACGTTAACCGCTTCATTTACTTGGGAAGTATCATCAACCCCAACGTCTCTGGCGTAGACGTGATATCCGGCTGAGTGTCGACCAAAGGGCGGGTGTACTGCTCATCAGTCCGCTCCGTCCTCCTTCATCATGGCTGTGAGCGAGACGTGGGCATTGAGAGTGGAAGACATGAAAAGATTAGCTGTTTTTGATCATAGGTGTTTGCACTCTATCTCCTGTGTAAAGTGGTACGTGTAATAAGGTGAGCAATATTGAGGTTAGGCGTCGAGTGCTAGGTAAAGAGGGAAAATCAATCGATGAGACTGTGAAATTACATATACTGAGATGGTTAGGACATGTGTAACGTTTGCCTAGTCATCGCCTTCCTCGATGGGCAATGTTGGCTGATATAGGGTCAGGCTGGAAATAGCTAGCGGAGGTCAAACCAAAACATGGCTTCACCAGTCAATGAAATCTACAACAGTTAGTCTAAGCCACGTAGGAAGGTGTAGACTTCCTGGTTGGGGTCCTCGGGGTGGGAAAAATCAGTGGTTGGAAACAATTGGTGATATGACTCACAACTGTTCTCAATGGCATAAAACATAAAACAGGTTAAAGCCGTTTTTTACGGCTAAGGTTTCAATGGATGTAAGTATGTGACACAAACCTGTTTCATGTTTGGGTTTAAATTCATTACTGAAATCAACTTTATGATTCGTTTCTGTGATGTGCTTTGCGGTAGACTGATAGATAATGTTGAACATCTGTTTCCAGGATTAATTGTATCCGGTGTATCCAATAATTCCCCAATAACTGTAAACATAAACTATCGCATCTGGCTACTTCTCTGTGTATCTACTAATTCATCACTTGCTCCTGTTCACCGAGGTATATAGGTCATTCGATGTGTTTTCACCTAGAAGAGTCAAGGAAAGCTATCCATGTTGGTTACAGGAAGGTCGCAATGAACGAATAAGATGTACTATAACTCAAGATATTTTCAACAATGCGTACTCATTATGCAAGGCGAATTTATCCAATGTTATCTACAAAATCAAAAGAAGCCTCATGAAAACGATATGCTTACGCACACACCGAAGAAACTTCTGCATAGTCTCCTTCAGCCTTGAATATAATTCGATAGATCACTCGACTACTATTCTCAGTTTGAGAAAGACAGAAGACTGCAGTCCTTTTTAACTGTTTGGATGTTCTCCATGTCAACCTTGGACGCCCAACTTGTCGCTTACCATCTGGGTTCCACTTGAGAGAGGCTGACGCATGATGTGTCACTAAAGGGCCTCCTCAGCCTGTGTCCGCTCCACCTCCATATTCTTATTCATGTTTGTTGGACAATAGGTACCTGGTTGTGTTTGTACGTTGCCATAGTCTCTTGTAGCTGATTCTCTCTGGCCATCTAATATTCACAATGGGAGCTCTCCTGGTAAGAGGCTGAAGTCTCTTGGAAATGGTTTTAAAAGGGCGCACTTCAATTCTCTGAAGCATATAGAAGGACTGAATTGACATTAGTGTTGAAAATCTGAGTATTGTTCACTATGTTGAGTGCAGCAAATTTCCGTGCTGATTTCAAAATAGCGAAGGTCTGTTCTTGCTTCTCCGATCCTGGCCGTCTTTGACAAATTCATCTATGCCGCCTGTAGTTAAAATGATGCTGCCTGACCACATAAGTGGAGAAAGTGATCTCTTTCAAATTTCTCCTGCTGATAGTGATTGGTGCTGTCCATCTTCTCTATGTTCACTTGGAGTGCTGCCTTCTCTGCTTCTGCCAACAACTTGTTGGTTTTCGCCTGTAGGTGTGTGAGCTTGTGTGACATTCGGCATGAATTGTTTACGAAGTCTATGTTTTCTAGAGTTTTCTTGTCGGCCCAACGTATTTTCTGTCTTCTCATTCCTCATGGTCTTCCACATAGTGCAATCTACCACAATGAGTAATATCACTAGTGATAGAAGGCAACTTTTTATTACTTCTGTTTTCACTTCCAGGGTTTCACTAAATTCGACATCTGGAATAATTATGTCGCTTTTGAATAAGGTTGTTAAAGATTTGAGGCAGTTCATAGTGTTGAAACAGTTTCCAGTTAACTTCTAGGTCAACACCGTGTGAAGCTTTCTTGAAGCCAGGAGAGTTGATGTAAATATCTGACTGCCACTCGATATTCTGTTCGACGGTGCAATTCAATGTGTACATGATTTGATTTTCCTGAATCCTACTCTTTTCGGGGGAGTTTCGCATCTAGAGCATGCTTCAATCTCTTCCGGATGATGTGGTTTAGTATTTTCATTGGCACGGACAAGAGCACAATTCGGCGACAATTTTCGCGATGCCTTAAGTCACCCTTCTTTAGTTGTTTGACAAAGTAGGTATTCTTCTAATCAGTAGAGGTACGTTTCATTCCTTCCAAACTCTCCGAAATTGTGGCAAGATGATATCGACGGAGGCCTTTGTATACATTTCCACTGCTTTCTAAGGAATTCTGCTCGGTTCTGCGGTCTTACCAGTTTTCAGTAACTTTATGGAATTCACGACTTCGGCTTCTGTCGGAATATTAATGTCCACTGGCAGTTCTGTGCGTCATCCTGGTAGTATTTCTGGACGACGCGCGGGTGTTAATCGGTTGGGTGTGTGTGTGTTCTTTGTTTCTCCTCTTTGGTGTGATTACCTTCTCCTCAATATCTTTCATCGATTTTATCTGAATACTATTGGCGTTTATTATACTTGGGAGCTATTAGAAATAGAAACTTACAAAGCCGTAGGTTATCGGGTCTCTAGGGCAATGAGGTGTAGAGCTTAACCGGTACGCCATACAACTTACTGAGTCAGGTTCAAATTAACCATGATTTCTAACGTTATCTAGATGATGCCAGTTTACAGGGAAGTCTCTATGCCCGTCTGTCTGTCCTACAGTCTGTCTGTGTCTGTCAGTTCCTCGCAAATTTCATAATTATAGATATTTATTTAAAAACTTCATAGAATTGTTCTCATTAATCAATTTGAATGAGGCAAGTACGACAAATGCGTACAAGAAGGATAATAATATAAGCTCGTTTCCTATTATGATTTCGAGGATTCTACTCATCTCTGGCGTAGGCGTGACATCCGGTTATCAACCAAGGGACGTGTGTACTGCTCATCAGTTCGCTCCGTCCTTCTCTATGGCTCTGAAACATGGCCAATACGAGTTGAAGACATGAAAAGGTTGACTGCTTTCGATCATAGATGTCTACGATCTCTGTCTCACGTTAGGTGGTTTAATAAGGTAAGTAATGTTGACGTTAGGCGTAGAGTGTTGGGCAAAGAGGGAAAATCAATCGACGAGGCTATAAAGTTACATAGACTAAGATGGTTAGGTCACGTGCTGCGCATGCCTAACCATCGCCTTCCCCTACGGGCATTACTAGCTGATATAGGTGGTGCAGGTTGGAAAAGAGCCAGTGGTGGCCAAACAAAAACATGGCATCAATCCATGAAATCCTCGACAGTTAAACTGAGTCAGGTAGGGAGATGCAGACTTCCGGGTTGGGGCCCCGGGACTCTAGGAATCAATGGCTGGAGATAATAGGTGACCTGACTCAAAATCGTTGTCACTGACGCAGATGTATTCAGTCTCTCTAATCTTTCATATGTCTTTCTACCATCACCCATTCTGTGTCGCTCTTATACCTGTCAAACTCTATTGATTCTCTTCGCTAATCCTCTTGTCTACCTTTGTGTGCTATTTGGAACGTAGCGACTCGAACTGGTGATCTTCGGTGCCAAGTTCTATGTTGAATCCAGACAGACAGACAGAAGAAGAGGAAGAAAATGACTCTCTCTCTCTCTCTCGTTTTTGGGCGTCCCAATAACTAAACGAATATACAGAACAATATGTAGACGATCGCATCGGAAATCTACTTCAATTGGACTATATAATCACTTCTTGAGTTCCATGTCTTTACAATACAAACATAATCTGGTTAGATGTCTGGTTCACTGGGCTAGGAGTTACCTGTTCAGATGATACACTAAACGAAGAACTCGGTAATATTCATGACCTACTACGCAGAAACGGATATTCGATGAAATTTTTGAATGAACACATGAACTCAGAAAGTAAAAAAGTCGAAGGTGCCCACTGTTCAATCCAGACAGACAGATGTCACCTTCAAACCGACTACCCACGCCTCGAATTTCACTCGAGTGATGCCGTGGCGCGCAATGTCATTCGACAGTCTCCATTTTCTTACAACTTACATTATTCCTGACTAATGTTACTTCCTCTCCTAGTTTCTGTCGTCAGTTACTCCTTGTCACCTTAGTGGAATAGGTATGCTCAAAATCTTAAATGTAATCCATGTTTTCGTTGTATAGTCTAGATTGTATGTAGCCAGCTGTCAGTAGAACCCTCGAAATACTAATAACGAAAACATGAGCTCACATTATCATTCTGGTACACATTTGATGTTCTTGCCTTACTCTAGTATTTTGGTGTTTGCTTTATTCTTTCACTTTCCCAGTGGAATATAGGGCTTCAAGCCAGATCTTTAGGGTTTCGGTAGTAGCGATATTCTTTGATTGGTCAGTAGTCGGTAACTAGTGTGATGTGTCTAGTCCGTTTGTTTGTTGCAGACTTAACTCTATCAGTCAGGTTTGCAATGTGGTCACCATTCCAGGTGGCTCGCCATCACGGTGCTCATTGTCTTGATGATATTTGACAGTTGGAGGCAATCGGCCATAGGAAGTCTTGGAGCACCTAGGTTTCGTGTCAGTTGGCACTCACATGTCAGCAAGGTGTATCTGCAACTGGTTTGAAGGAACTCTTATCCCTTCTGAAAATCGAACTCGCGTCACCCATTGCTGATTGCGGTCAGAGATGTTACCACTGAGCTATTTCGACCCGCGATTAACCTCCAACCATCTAATATCATTAAGTAGTGATGTTCATCTTTGTAGGATGTGTTTGCCAGCCTGTTGCTCAACTTCCCATCCTCACTGCTCGTATCACCGTCTTATCGAGATAAAGAGATGCGTTGGTAGGAAGATCGAACCCGCTGATCACATATGTAGTTGGTTAGGATTCTATTGTGAAGCCACTGACACCCTATTTGAAAAATATTCTCATTGAGAACATTTTTTCTGAATCTTGATTCACTTAACTTACAAATTTTAAAAGAAATTTATTGATTTTTATTTATTTACAGGTTGTTTTTTCTGTTTTCCAACGATAAATGGAGATGCCAACAGTTGATTTGAGTTTAATTCGTAAAAAAGTACAATTAAATTGTATTGGAGATAAAGTCTTCAGTGGATTTGTATACACTATCGATCCGATAACTGGTAATTATGTCTTGTATTCATGCACGAATGGCACTTATCTGCCAACTATTGTTCGTTTTCAAGCAGTTAAAAGTGTTGAAGTAAGAATTTTTTGACAATTTTTATCGTGACTTTCACTGTTTTTTTGTTTGTTTGTCTTTTTTGTTTGGTTTTTCTGAATAAGTTATTTGTAAATTTTGATTGTCCAACAGAAAGGAGCTAAAAGTTCACTAGCGAAGTCGTCTGTCTTTTCAACGATTTCAATTACAAAATTAGCTGTACAATCGCATTTATATGTATGAATGTTGACGGCACAGCGATAGACTGCTCATCGGTCACACAGGTGGTTTGGGGTTCGGTCGTCGACCGACGCTTTCTTTTACACCTCGCTTAGCCAGTAATAAGAGCAGTAACGAGGGAAGGTTTGTCAAGATGAGGTGGCTAGCGAACCAATCTTGTAAAAGTAAACACCACAGCTACCCAAACTTCAAGTCTCTAGCTTGAAGCCATATGTTCTATTAGGAACGTAAAGGAAAAGAAAAAATATACTTAAATACAATCATTATCTAATTCAACATAATAGCGAAGATGGTGAAGATTAAAGGTGGTGATAATTTTCAACTTGATTTGAAAGTATAAAGTTGTGAATATGGATAACAGGGAGCTAAGAAAGTAAATTACATAGGGGTTTAAAGTAATCGCGTTCTATGTAAAACAGGTTTTTAACGTATATAGGTGTAAGCGGCTGGATGAGCATAGAAACAAGCTGAGATAACAGTGAAGAACAAACTTCCGCATATGACCACTTTTTTGAGGAGCAATCTTCAAATATTTGACATGCGATTCACTCCCGTCAAATGCAAGATGATGCTACAGGACAGGACAGGACTGAACTGGACTACATTGACTCCTAACTTAAAGACACAGAGGAGGAGTGTAGTGGTAGGGCGTGTCGACCACTTCAGATATTTGTGAAGTTACATCAGCCCCATCTGTTGATATAGACTTTTGAATCTATTCTATCTTATCTATCTTAGTCAGGGTACATGAAAACGAATCTTCGGGCGTATGAAGTGAATATTGAAAGTTATGTCTACAAGGCATAATTGTTGTGTAGTGCCTGATGAAACTCAACTATTTATCGAGGTCGTAGTAGATTGGGGAGGGATTTGAATCCAGGACCTATTGGCGGAATGTCGAGTGTACAAGCCTATGGGTCACATGTCTACTACTTTGAATATGTTATCCTATAGAAATTAGTATAAAACTGTGGTAAAGTATAACTCTATTATAGATAAGATTTTATTGTTGTGGTGCTGCTAACAATTATACACTTCATCCAATAGTTGTATGACAACGCTGTATGTCAAGTAATCCCCTAAAGGAAACGGGATTAAGACAAGGCTAGCTCTCTGGCTGGCTGGCTGCCTACTATCTCCAATGATTTTCCTGATTGTGAGTGGTAGACTGGATAATGCGACAGACGGTGGTGGGCAGTGAGTAAACAGGCATTCAGTGGATAGACATACGCAAAAGCTTGCAGGATTTGAATTTCACCGATGAAATATGTCTGATTTCTCACAAACTGGAAGATATGCGAGTGAAAAGCAACAAGTAGGTGATAGAAGAAGCATGCAGAGAAGAAGTTACTTCAGGTGAATGTAGAGAAAACAGAGGAAGGTGATGACGATTCCTGGCCAACAGCAACACCGACGACGACAACAACAGACAACAATCAGCTAGCATATATTGGAGAAATCTGAAAGAAGCAACTTCCTTCACCTTCACCTACTTACATGAGAAGCATCCTTTCAACTACAGGCGTACGGAATTTATGGGGATATGAAAGCGAGGATCGAGAAAGCAACTCAAGCTGTAATTAATCTCAAGTCTGTGTGGAGATCAACAACACTCAGCATGAAAATAAAAATAAGATGCGGATTTTCAACTCAAATGTGAAGTCAGTCAGTGCTACTCTACGGATCAGAGATTTGACCAGCGCGTGACGAAGGGGACTTCGAACCAACTGCATACGTTCATCAACAGCTAGCTGTCTTCGCTGAATACTACTCAAGAACATATGTCTGGCCAAAAGAGATCAGCGACATGGATATCTGGGAGCGAACCAACCCAGCAGAAACCGATTGTCCAGCAAATCTGCAGGAGGAAATGGGGGTAGATTGGCTGTAATTTGAGAAAACAAAGCATCAAGTGACATCAGACGGAAGGCCATTGCTCGAGTGGAACCCGATCGGGAAGCGATGAGTTGATCGTTAGTGATACGGTGACATGGGGGAGGTAATGTGACGAGGAGATGAAAACATGTGGGCAGACATGTAGCCAGGTGATAACATTGGCAGAGAACCGGGCTGAATGGAGACGTTGGGCTGAAGCCCTATATTCCTCTAGGAATTAAAGGAAACAATAATATAATATAATATCGACCAGGTTGGTGGGGGGGGGTTTACATGTCAACAATTCAGTGAAAGGCAAGTTTAATAGACAATCAATTTATCACACATTGTTCAGGACCAGTTACTGCAAACTAAGCTGACTAACGTTCGGCTGAAGCCCTATGTTCCTGTAGGAACTAAAAGAAACGATAAATAATACTACAGTGTTGTACAGTAATATTACTGTACGTCATGTTTACGAAACCTCAGAAATATAAGCTATAAATACACTAATCTGATAGGTTGTCTGAGTTCAGAAAATGAAGCCGTAAATAAACGAATCAAAACTGTCCAATTAGATTATCACATCTAACAAAAAACCTTGTTCACCTTGATATCTCCCTGTTTTATTAGTTCTAGATTAGGGGAACCACTTGGAGATACTTTGTAGATTATTCTACTCTCCGTCTATGATAAGAAGGCAACGAATCACACACACCCATAAACACGTGCGTTTTTAACTCAGCTGTGAATACACCCGTCTTCCGTATATCGTTGTCATTACAAGGACTAGCTGTGTAAAATCATTGTTAGACGTAGCGGAAGGCTGATCAGTCGGTTGTTTAGTCTTCTTCTTAATGCCGACTGAATTCTGTCATCAGTCATTATTGCAGTGTTGGTGGTCACTAAGCTAGATGACTCGTTGTCGTCGCTGTGAACTGTTTGAAGGCACAGTTGGCAGAATGCCTTGGTGATCCAGCTATACAGACTAAGTCCCCATGTGCTACTTGCCCACATTCAATCAGTTTACCTGACAGTTCAACTGTCTTTTCATAATTAATTATTATTCTTGTTCTTGTTATCATTATTTCTAGGTTTTAGACGATGAAATACCATCGGAATTAAATGATCTATTCGATACATTATCTCCAGAATCGTCGTCGTCGTCTTCAGCAGATGAATTGGAAGAAATATCCAGTGAATTAAAATGTAGACAAGAAATAATCCTTCAATTGTTCAGCGCAAATCATATCCAAGGTGTAACTGTCAATGCGAGAAATGAAATAATTATTCATAATGCTGTATGCATTAAACCACCATATACTGTGGACTGTTGTCTTGGTAAAAATGTGATGGCACTGGAATCTGTAAGAAATTTATTAGGCGAACTAGATGAGAAGGAGATAGTGGAAGAGACGGAGGAGGATGGCGAAGAAGTAGTGAACGGAGAAGGAATAGTGAATGGCAAAAGAGTAGTCGACGGCGAAGGAATAGTGGAGAGCAAATAATTGTCATCGATACTGAATTGAAATGCACTTGTACAAATTCACTTTCTTGTGTATTATTTATTGTGTATAGAGTTTGCATTAAATATCTTTGAATTTAGTTTTCTCTGATGACTTCTGTATCCGATATCCCTTTTGGTATTGTTCTTCAGTTTCTTTTCGGTGAAGTATTGTCTATCTACAGCTTCTTTGAGACCTTTCAACCCTACATCCGCCCGATTTTCTCGAATATGTCTTGAATAAGCCGCGTTTCCATATTATTATCACATTGAAATGAAATCTGTTTGAAATTTAGTGTGCACATTTGGTGAAAATCAGATTGCCATGGGGGATAGCCTTGTACTTGTACACGCTGACGATAATCACCACGGGATTAAATACCTGAATATCTTGCAAGCAGTTCTCTCCAGTCTAAATCATTTCACTGAGTGCTTCTCGAAGCCTATTGAGTTCCCCTCCAATGTTATCGACTCTCATTCTGGCATTCCCTATACCCATTAAGAATTCTGATATTGCTGTGTGGTTGGTGTCTTGTCGATTACTGCTTGCAATATTATCCATAGATGTCCTCCTTGGCCTCTTCGTCGGTAAATTTCATGAATTTTGTGACGATGTTGTTGTAAACGGGATGTGTGGTCTGAGTCACAGGTTTTGGCGCACTACTATAAGAGAATAAGAATTTTATTGACAACTACCTTCAATGGCTCCGTAGTGAAGATCAAATGGTCAGCCAGTCAGAAGGATTTAGCAACACTAATCTCTGTCTGAGAGCCAACCAACCAAGAGGTGATTGCTCAATAGATATGTAGGAGAGAAAGGAGATCGAGATTGGGCATACACTGAGGAAGACGCTGAATGATATGGTGTGCCAGGCAATCGCTTGAGTGAAATTCCAACGGGAAGTGATGAGCAAGTCGTCTGAGGCTGACCTAGCGGTGATCGTGTAGGGAGGAGATGATAAATCATGGGAAATCGTGTGGCTAGCGGGCTGAAGAGGACAGCAGAAAATGCAACAAAGTGGAGATGTATTGTTTAAGACCTGTGTTCCATTCAGAACCGAAGGGAACAATAGTAAAATAGTAATGATTATCGAAGTAACTTGAACTCAAATGAAAAAAAGTGTAAATAGACAAAGAAAGAAATCAAGTTTGATATTTCTCTAGATATTTCTTGAGAACTAGAGACCCATTGGATGAAGGCGGCTGAAAATTTATCTTAGATTCCCAAGTTGAAGTTTCCGCGAGTGGAGATTGTGTGTAATCTTGAGTAATGGAATATGTTCGACATAGAATATTGATAGGTGAAATTTTCGCTAAACGTACTGACATTGCAATGAGGTAATAAGAAGGGATTGAAGGGGAAATAGAGCACCTATGACGTGCCTGTTGTATCATATATGCTTATCTGTCGTATATGGAAGGCATCCGTCGCCTTACTGTCTATTAGAGACACATATTGTTGCAGTCTTCCAGCTAAGAAGCACCTCCGAATATTTCATCCCTCTATATTATAATGCCTATACGATTTCTCGTCGAATTTGTCAAATGAAAACAAACAGTATTTTTATTTCGCCATACGCGAATTGGTAATGTGTATTGAGGTTGACTGTTAGATGGTTGGAAGCAATCGTCAAGATGCCTTGGACCACCTAGGTTTCGTGCTGGTTAGCACTCCCCGATTAAGCAAGGAGTATCCGTAACCTTGAACAGTCTCATATCTCTTCCGAGATTCTAAGTCACGTCACCCAGTGCTACCTGCAGACAAAGAATTTATCACACTGAGCTATTCGAGCTCGCGATTGACCTCCCATAGAACTATTTTGGATATTTCTGACTGGCCACTATTCAATAACTACTGTAATGTGTGTACCTAGTCCCGTCTTTGGTGCAGACTGAATTCTATCAATCAAGTTTGCAATGTGGCCGCCATGCTAGGTGGCTCTCCGTCATGCTGCCCTGTGAATTGTTGGTATTATTAGACAACTGAAATAGTGTCACCATAGATTGAAAATTGGAAAGAATAAAAGAGTCAACTCTTTTGCCAATACTAACATAGTAAGTCAACGGTTTCGTGTTTAACATTATCTCTATCACATAGGACGCGGTCGGGCCAAATAGGGTTTCTGCAATTGGCAGTGTCAGCATAGAATTGTTTCCGATGACTTCTAGTCCTCTACTTGATGAGATGCAAGGCGTTGAGCGTTGAGAATAGCGGATATGTTGAGAGTCAGACAATATCGATTAAAACCATTTCTCATATGACTTTAGGTGTCTGTCGACTACAGTGGTGACAAGCTGACTTATTGGCACACCACTTACAACACTGACAACATTTAATACACTTCCCAGTATGCAAAACTCCTTCTTGAATAGCCCAGCAAAGACTTAGGTAGATGAGCAAAATGCAGTAGATAAGATGGAAGGGTTAAGAAACTGTAAAAGTAGGAATTCACTGACACCTAACTGACTGTTTTAACTATTGAACGTAGTATGTCGGACGGATAATATTTCTTCGAAATCAACAAGATATGGAATCTTCAAGAATGTTTGGAGGAAAGAACTCCGAAGTATTTTATGCTTGACTCAGTTCCTATTTCAGTACTCTCTACGTTATATTTCTTGTGAACGACGCAGTTCTTGCTAACCACGTTTGTGCTCACAGGTAAAATTGATTGTCAGATATTTCGTGGGATTTAAGATAGGACCATTTAAATCAGACCACTGACTGATATCCTACAAAAGGCTACTCAGTTGAAAACAGTCAAATAGTTAGTGTAGGCAACAAAGTTGACTTCTCTCAAAATAGGTAAGTCATGTAAGAAGAAAGGAAAACGAAAAGATTAGAGAACAGCACTCTGAGGGTCTTCAAATTCAGTGATCAATGCAGAGAAGGATTTACCTTTGTGAACAGTAGACAGCTGAGTTAGAATGCAACCCCGGTTGACAGACTGGGATTCGGTTTGTGTCATGGAAAGTTTATTTAACAAAAGAAGTTTGTGGTAAAGAGTGGATGGCTGAAGTATAATCAAGGAAGTTATATCGGACATATTTAGTCCTGTTCGTCTAAGGAGGAAGCAGTATTATGTTATCAGAAAGCAACAGCGTCTAATGCACATCTCCCTTGTTTATAAGCGAATTGTTTGAGATCAAAAAGTCTTTTCAAGGAAGGTTCAAATTGAGCAGAATGAATTTTCTCACTAAGTTCAGAAAAGAAGAGGTAATTGGAATAGATCTAAATTTAGCATTCATACCAGAGAATGATTTAGACACTGGGATAATTTTAACATATTTCCATCCAATGGCTACGACATTATTGGAAGTAGAAGCAATGAAATTGTCTGTAAGAGGATGACATAAAAATATCAGCACATCTTGTGAGGTAAACAGCAGGTACAACATCAGGAACACGGCTTTGAGAAGATTTCGGAGATTTGAGATATTTCTTAATAATGCTCATATAGTATCTCAATTACTTTTGATTTCATTGATGACATGTTATGCATTGTATATCAGTGTGTTGCTATGATTAATGCCAGGCATACCAACCTCACCTGAAGACACAGTATGACACAGTGTGCGTCTCTCATACTTATGCTAAGGGAGATGTCAAAAATTTATTTTTTATGTACGTCCATGACTCAACAGTAGGATGCTTGCCAACCATTCGTGTGGTGCGGCTTTCTATCCTCGGCTGATGCAATCCTACATCTGGCTTAGCTTGTGGTTAGGCAGGTAAAGAAGGAAGGCTATTCCACTTGGAACATAAGGGAATAAGTTCAAACATAATAAATGCAATTTCATAATCTGTTTTCGTCTCATGTGATGTTATTACACGTCGTAAGTTTAAGGAGGACTCCTTGTTAATTGTCATCTGATCAGTGATGGAGGGGCAACAACGTTTACGGTTATTTGTTTACTAATTGTATAGTGGGCATAATATTTTGGTCGTTCTATGTTTCAAGATAAATCCAGTATCTCACATATTTTTCACATCTTACAACTGAAATGTTTCAGGAGGAGTAAAGGAACAATATTCAACGGAGATACGAATATATGGAGACCTGAACAACAAGATTGCACAGTTTTGTCAGACGTTACAAATCGAGACATTATATATAACTTTTGTCCAAAACTTCTTTATTGTAAAATATGCACAACTTCAGCGTACGAATGGAAATACTGCGTGTTGTCCGTCACTTCCTTCTTCTTATTGGTTCCTACTGTCCACTTGCTCTGCTGATACTCGTGTTTTATTCTTTGGAATTGGCAGAAATATCTTTTCGTCATCGGGAAATTATTCAACAACTGTTTAAAATCTTCTCCCAGTGGACACGAACTCAGCAGTCAAACGGATCTGTGGAGGAAATCATTCCTCGGTATCAGTGGAATAGCAGCAACAACAACAGACAACAGTCAGCATTTTTTTCCTTCATGTTCCCCAGTGGAACATAGGGCTTCAAGCTAGTGGCTTGAAGTTTCTGTAGCACTGTTTATTTTACAGGGTGGGGTTGCTAGTCTCATTCCCAACCTTTCCTCTTTACCAGACTTATTACTGGCTTAGCGAGGTAAAGGAGTGCGTCGGCGGGGATAGAACCCCGGACCATGTGCATGGTTGGCAAGCGTCCTGTCCGCTATGCCACTGACGCACACAGTCAGCATTAATTGCAGAAATCTGAAGGAAGCAAGCACCTTTAACTGCCTACTCACCTGGGAAGCATCGTTTCAACTACAGGCGGACCGAACTGATGAGGATATCATCGACACTAGGATCGGGAAAGCGAGGCAAGCTTTTATTTCTCTCAAGTCTCTGTAGAGGTCAACAGCACTATTCAGCAAGAAAACGAAAATGAGATCCGGATTTTCAACACCGATGTGTAGTCAGTCACTGTTAATTACTACACGGTTCAGAGATTTGGCCAGTTCGTCACGTTGGGGACTTCGAACAAACTGCACCCCTTCACCAACAGCTGTCTTCGCTCGATAATACCCAATATCACATGGCCAGCCAGAATAGAGCAGCGATAGGGATTTCTGACAATCTACAAAGCAACCTAGCAGGAACCAACTGTGCAGAAATAAACGTGGTTGGAAGGGCCGTACTTTGAGAAAAACTGTATTTTCAAAGAACCACAAATTTATACACCTTGCTGTCTGTATCTCTATATAATGCACAGACTCAATATTGTTTCAACAAGTCGAATTTTAATTCCGATATTTCGTACTTTTATCGAGTTCATTGGTAAGTCTCACAAAAATGTGTCTGAGAATGTTTCACTTTGCATAGTATATTCTCATTGGCTAATTCATATCACTTTCATAAAGAATTAAGAATGCGTGTGACAGAGCCTACAACTAGATCGCATGCAGACATGTGCACGAAAACACATAACAAGACGACGTATATATAAACACGCTTCAAAACAATCTTCACACTTAACTAGCATAGACTCAATATCATATCAATTATCTATTTCTTCAGCTTCATATTACTCACTTTCTCTTATTGCACTGTGAATTCATTAGTCCCGAAACCGACTAAATACACAGAAAATGGAAATACCTGCAGCCTGAATAAAGATTTACAAATTGAAAAGGGATATTCAAAGTGTTTCATACTGGACGATGCAGTGAGCGAGTTCAAAAAACGTCTTGAAGCGGAAACATCACAACATCTGAATAATCAACGAACTTCTTGCAGTATTGATAAACTGACGATTTCCATAACCAGTCAATGTGACGAATCAAGTGGGGGTGATTTGTGGCCAAGTGAAAAGATGAATGAGTCATGTAAGTTCACTTCAGATTTTTCACAACTTCCGTACATAACTAACACACTACTGAAGACAATTATCATATCGAATCCGAAGATTGAAGTCAAATCTATTGAGTTATGGGGAACATTACGTGTACTACAGACTGTATTACAATTGGCGCACAGAAATGCACTGAGTCAATGACCTCATGATTACTCATGTACTGTCAACCTATTTTATGTAGCTGGTAATAAACGAATCTACAGTCAAGGATTCACCCCAGTTCACTCACAGAGGATTTGTAGTTAACACTGCCGCCCATTTCATCAGTGTTGACTTGATGGAGAATTTTCTTGTAAGTCTGCCTTGCATATCGTCATTCTCATCTAACTCCACAATCACTCAGGATGCGATGGCTTTAGTTAAAATGAATGTATTTCATTGGCACATCACAGATGACAGTTCATTCCCGTACCAATCATCCACATATCCTCAACTCTCTCAAAAAGTACTTATTAATTGTCACCTCACTATTATTCCCTCTACATAGGGTGCTTATCATCCAATCAAGTTAGTCTATGGGGATGGGATTGTTGGGCAGTTATTGAATTATGCTCGATTACGTGGAATACGTGTTCTGGTGGAATTTGATACTCCGAGTAAGTGAACAACATGCCATTGTGCTTTATGTCATGTTCCATCTTTGAATTTTTCTCCTCGTACACAGTGATCCATGTTATTAGCAATCTCTCGATATGTCATTAATCTCTAAATGGGGCAATCTTTTATTCATTTATTTAAATCAAGGGGATAAATGCCTTTTTATGCAATAATTCTTTCATCTCTAAAGATCCTTCAATTAACATATTTCTCAGTTATGTAATTTGGAATTACATGTGTTAGTTAGCAATGTTTGGCTCATCCTCTGCTTTTTGCCAATAATTCCAAGTTGGATAGAAAATTTGGAAACAAGCAATGAAGGTTAATAAAAGAGGACTAAATGAATTCGCCAAATTTCGGTAGAACTCGTCAGCTGAGTACTCTACATACACGGATACATATATACTTTTGAAGTTACATTGGGAGATATAAGACTGATAAGTAAACAAACTACATCGAATTAATCATGCAGAAAGAGAGTTGCGAATGTTTTCCAGGTCATGTTCAAATAGATAAGGGGGGAGAGAGTATGAGAGATCAAAATTAGGATTAAATGCATTACGCTTCAATTACATCACTTAGATAAACAATTAGTCATTAGGGAATATAACGAGAATTGCAAACAGACTAATATCAATAGTAATAGTTATAATAATATCAGTGTTGAAGTGTACAAGATAATCCTACTGATAAAGGATTGTTTAAAATGAATCAGGAATAATAATAATAATGATAATAATAATACGAGGTAGAAAAATAGGTAAAAGGTATTACCATTGTAAATTCAAAGTTACAACCATCTCCTTTTGTACACAGAGACCTGGTTTATAAATTATAATTGCGCAAGCCTCTGCAATTGCAAGCATCTTCTTGTTTCTTTGTCTGCTGACAATGGTAAATGACTTGACTGCGTCGATATCATGTCCGTAATCTACAAGATGTTTTGTTATTGAGGATTTTGGCACTCCGCACTCAACTGTTTCCAACCATTTTGGCAAATGCTCCATCTTGCGAGTAGACAATCGCCTTTCCGTACGACCTATGTATTTACTGCCACAAACACACTCAAATTGATATATGCAGTTTGAAGTGTCGAGGATTGGCGACTGGTCTTTCCCAGATTGTTGAAGCACTCGCTTGATGGTGTTAGGGATAACAAGTTTCGCAGCATAACAAGTTCTCTTGATGGCTTTGTCGAGTCTTCGTTTGACTACTTCCTGTACGTCATCTCCTTTTAACGGCAAACTGATACAGACAGGTTTATTTGGAACTGTTTGGATTGTTTTGGAGGGGCTCATTTCTTTAGAGTATTTATTAATGAACTTCTCGGAATATCCATTCTTAGATAAAATATCCTTCAGAGATTTTATTTCATGTTCAGTAGTACTATCAGAACAAATATTTCGTGCTCTATTGAACAGTGTTCTGAATAAGTTTTTTTATACTGGATTGGAACAAAGGTCTTGAAATGCGTGTACTGTCCTGTGCATGAAGACTTTCTAAACACAGGTCTTTCGATTGTGCCATCATTCATTTTGGCTAGAAAATCGTCTAGGAATTAAATAGTATCGTTTTTCTCGTGCTCTACTGTGAAATGGACATTTGGTTGGCATGAGCTGAATTTTATCAACATGTCTTCGGCTTTTGATCTGCTTCCACAGACAATAAAAATGTCATCAGCATATCTTAGGTATACATCTGTTTCTTGTATATGTTGCGAGAAGTGGTCCCAAAGGGCTTCCCATTGCAACACCATCAACTTGACGGAATAGACCCTGTAGAATTAGAACTGGACATTTTTAGTACATAAAAGTAGTAATTTCCTCAATTCCGATGTTGGAATGGATATGTCTTCAGCTTCTTTACATATGAAGTCGATAGTCTCAACGATTGGCACAATAGTGAAGAGGGAGGTAACATCGAAAGACACCAAATGTTTATCATATACACTGAAATCTTTGATTTGAAGTGAGCCCACTTCAAATTGAAGTATGCGCTGAAGATGTTGCCTAGCAGGGTAATAAAAGCTTCGCAAATTAAGCATCCAGCTCAGAGAACACAACCACATCAATATCATCCACCAGAGCTACAAATCTTATCTATCATAGCTATATACATTCAGAAGCGTTTCCGCAAGGGCTGCAACAGTTCACATAGCCACTGTGCTAATTTGTGGTATGGTGAGTTTATCATCGAGAGTATCGGTCTTCACGGCACTCCTGGTTTGTGTATTTTTACGCGTTCGTATAGATTATGGGATTTGTTACCGAATCGGTTTGATATTTCTATATGTATTTACATTAATGTATTTCTTTTTGAAGAGTTGCCGTAGATGCTGCACAATTTTCCTTTCGAGCGACAACGTTTGGTCTTTTGCAAGAGTATTTAATTTGAATTTAGATTCATCAGAGAGAATTTCATGCATTTTTCCGACATAATCTACCTTATTCATTAGCACTTCGCTTTGTCCTTTATTGGGTTGCAAAATAACAAAATTATTGTCTTTTCAGAGCTTGTTTAGTGATCTCCAGTATTCCTTGGTGATATGCGACTTTTGATTGATCGTCATGATTCGAAATTGATAAGCAATATCAACCATCTTTGATTTTAACCAGCTTTACCTGTCGTTGGACGTAGCATGTAGCCCCATAAGTTGGTCATAACGATTTTCGAGTTGGCATTCCATGTCAATTAGCTTAATCTTTTTCATGGGAACACAAAAGTTGAATCTCAATGACAGAATTTCTGCTTGTTCTTTTGATGGGGAAACATTAGATAAAATAAGAACATTAATAGATATATCCACTGGGAAAATTTCATTTGGCGGTTCCGGATGAAGTGACTTCTTCAGTTTCTTTTCTTCTGATTCTTTTGTCTTTTTTGATGTGGCATGCAGATATTTACTGAATTTAACATAACATACGAAGTTCAAGTCATTTTTTTACACTGATCAGTTTGCTTGATAATACGCATAAATTACTGATTTCATATGTTTCAGAACACAAACGTGATTCAGCAAGACGGTAAAGATTCGACCATGTAGGTCTCAAATGATCTTTACGCAAAGATTTGTAAAATGTTTGAGGATGAATATTAGTCTGGATACATTCCTTCAAAAAATCTCGTCGCGCACATTGTTTAGCAATCGCACACTTCAATTTCACTAGATCATTTATTGTCAGATAGATGTCAGGTAGGACTGACTCATTCTCTGCATTATTGATTTCAGGTCATACTAGATCATGGGAGAAGGGTCATCCTGGATTGCGAACAAAGTGTTATACTGAAGGCTCACCAAATGGAGAAACTGGACCATTTGATCCTACAAATCAGACCACAATGGGATTTCTGACATCGTTTTTCAATGAAATTACTTCGAAATTTCGAGAGAGATTTATTCACTTGGGTGGTGGTGATATATCGTTTGAATGTTGGTGAGTTTTCTGATCATCTGTTGTTGAATGAACGTTGATCACGTCACAAGCTCACGAGTACACCGTGGAGGAACCATTCAGATATTGATGGCTTTATTGAGTATTGAAGTATGCACTGTCGTGCAATGGTTAAGGTTGAATGAAATGTTGATATTTCGGTCTTATGTTTCAGTGAATGAGCAGGCGATCCATTTTCGAATTGTGGCCACGTTGCGAACTTGACTGACAAAATTAAGTCTGCATCAAAGATAGGAATAGACACACACATTACGCTAGTAACTGAGTAGCGTCCAATCAAAATATCTAATATAGTCCTAAGAAAGGTCAATCGCAAGCCTCAATGGTAATATCTCTGACTGCAATGAGCACTGAATAACACCTGTTTGAATCGCAGAATAGACATGAGTTTCTTGTGAGTGCCAACTAGCCCGAGACCTAGGTGGTTCAAGGCTTTCTGACGATTGCTTCCAACCATCTAATATCATCAAATCAATATGCAGCGTGATGGCGAGCCACCTAGTGGCATGTTGGCCGTATTGCAAACCTGACTGATAGAATTCAGTCCGCCACAAACGAAAGGACTAGACAAATCACACTAGTTGCTAGTGCTCAATCAAAGCTTATCAGTAACTTAGAAATCGGTGAATCCACAAAGTCTATTCTAATTGCCACCTAAATGGCATTCACCGACGCTCAGTAATGATCGAAAACCATTGGTGGTGTTCACTTTGGCATCTGAGTTACTCGTTTCACTGTGTGAATACTCTTTAGTCAGGGTGAGGTATGTCACATTGCTAGATATAATCCAAACAGTGGAAGTCCATGTTCATTCTTATGAATTACTGGAAAATCTCACCTTTTGATTGCCTTAATATGAATTACGGAATGTGGGCATCTTCTCAAACTTCAAAGTTGTTCAGCAGAATACCTTTCATGTATCATATTGTATCTATCAGTACAATATCAGGCTTCACTGGTACTGTTATCAATCTGTTTGATTTTATAACTTGGGATGTCTTAAATAGACGACACACACATGTAAGCGTAGTAGTCAACTAATTTGAATGATATCACTCTTGTATCGATGACACTTTCACTATATTTGAATATGTAGATAGGACGAGATAAGTTCGTTCTATTTTCATAAACTGTCTCCACTCCACTCACCCCACTGTAATTAAGCAATTCATGGAAAGACAAGCGAAGTGTAGTTGGGGAAACTTAAGAGAAACTCTACCTCTGGGAAATTTATTTACAATTGACCATCTAGTGACTCATAAAGCTGACCATCTTTTGCCTGACAACATTATGCGATTTATATTTTCTAAGATATTTGAAAATGTTTTCGTTTAATCAGGCAATCAAATCCTGATATTGTGAACTTTATGAAGACGAAGGGTTTTGGCGAGGACTATGGAAAACTCGAATCATATTATTTTGAAGAACTTATCAAAGCTATTCAATCTGTTCAACAGAAAAAGGGTCCTATCACACCAGTTGTTTGGGAGGACACATTCCACAACGGCTATCGTGTGAGGGGGTCATTTTATTTTTTTTAGCATATTATCTCTTTGTGATTTATAATAAATAATTTCTCGTCTCTCTTGATTACCTAGTCTCTGTGGATTGTTCATCATAAGTCTTAAGTAATTTGTAATACGACAGTGCTCCATGCCAAGTAATCCACAATGGAATACTCACGGAATCCTTCGAAGAAGTGAAGACGGGAGTAAGACAAGCTGGCTGACTGGCTGCCTACTATCTCCCGTAATTTTCCTGATTGCTATAGCCTGGATAATGCGCCAGACAGCGGCGGGAAGCGAGGAAACAAGCGAGCTGACCATTGATATCGGCTGTGCGTCGGCAGGGGATTGAACTCAGGCCATGTGCATGATCACCGAGAGTCCTAACCACAGTGCCACAAACGCACAATGAACCCACACAAAAAACTTGAGGATCTAGACTTTGCCGATGATATTTGTCTGATTTCAAACAAACTAGAAGATATGCAAGTGAAAATGAACAAGTTGGTGATAGAAGAATCAGCCAGAGAATATAGGCATTCAGGTGAACATAGAGAAGACAGAATTGGGTGATGAATGTTTCTGGCTAGCAGCCACAGCAACAACAACAGACAACAATCAGCTAGCATGTGAAGTCAGTGCTACTTATTATACTGATCAGAGATATGGCCAGTGCGTCACGAAGGGGCTTTCGAACCAACTACACGCCTTCATCAACAACTAGCTGTCTTGGCTCAAGAATACTCAAGATCAGATGGCCGGTCAGAAAACATCAGTGACATGGACGTCTGCGAGCGAACCAACCAAGCAAGAACTCATTGTGTAACAAATCTGCGTGAGGAAATGGAGTTAGATTGGCCATGCTCTGAGAAAACAAACCATCAAATGACATCACACGTAAGGATCCGGTTGGGAAGCGATGGGTTGATCGTCAATGCGACGATGACATGGATGGGGTGTTGTGAAGAGGAGATACAAGCATGTGGGCTGAAGTGGATTCAGGTGAAGACATCGGTAGATAACCGAGCTCAGTGAAGACGTTTGACTGAAGCCCTACATTCCTCAATGAATTATAGGAAACAATAATAGCATAATAATGATTTGTAATAAGAATTGTCTAGATTATATTGCGTTTCATAGTTGTTGCTAGAACTTCAAGTAATGGGTTAAAGATATTAGGTCAATGTTCTAAAAGTTTCAGGTTCATTTCCACTGGTCTCTCATGCTATGATGATGCTACTTAAACATATATCGACTGTTGCTAAAGAAAATCATCGATGCTTTTTTGTTAGACGACAATCATCTATTTGAATTTAACTGCAGTTTTAATTTTTGTGATATGCGGTGAACTACAGAAAATGGTGAAGTATGCTTAGGCGAAAATTAATCAAGTGAAGGGAGAGCAGTCGATGAATTGAACAATGTCACCAATGTGTCATTAGTGGTACATCCATCCTCACACTTGACTGGTTGGACCTTACCGGTCACTACGTCTCATCATAACTCTACGAAACTCAGTCCTGTAGCAAATCACTGGGGTTCTAGTGGGAAGTCGTAACCAGTGAGATTAATTCAGTCAAGTGCAACACTGGATATCTCGCCAATGACGTTGGTTAGTGGTCGCGCTAAATCACATATTAGTAGAAGTTAGAATTCATGGACATGCCACTGAATGAAATCCCAGTGGCTGAATTTTACACGAGGTACCTTGCCCTGTAACCGGAAGGTCCTGTGTTCGAAACCTGGCGGTGAGTGTTTACTGCCGATGATTCCCAAACTAGGATGAAAGAGCTGTCCAGTACTCCCTGGTTTTCCAATAATTATCTAACTGATATCAATCCGTGGTCGTAAAAACAGTCTCTTCACACGAAAACTCTAAAGACTGTCGGATCTGTGTCTACTAGATTACTCTTGGTTCCTTAATTGTTAATATATGAAGTATAGGAGCAATGAGAATCACAAAGGCATGCATGCATCTCCTTTCACTAGAAGAAATGTTGAATAGGTTGACAATGCCGTCTTTTGTACAGAACTGAAAGAGTATAAAAGAACTTTTTCATTCTCTGGCGAAGCGGAAGATGTTGAGGTGACTGAGTGGGATTCACTCCCGAGTAAAATATACATAAGCAAGCAATGGAGAGAAGGGTGCAGATCTGCTCCATATAAATACTTCCACAGCTGATGTGTCATCTCCACTGCATTTTCTTGAATTTAAAATCTTTATCATCATATCTTTCAAAATGAACCAATCAAAATAAATTCAAAATTTATTTTTATGCTAATGACTCATCAAAATTTTCTCACTTAGCCGAAGGACCAGAATCCTGTGTTCCAAGTATGGGATGAATCGAACAGGCAAGAGCGTGTCAGAAACATAACATCAGCTGGCTATCGAGTTATACTTTCATCATGTTTTCTTATCTCGGCCAAAAATTATGTGGGACATTGGTACTCATACTACGAATGTGATCCAAGAGACTTCTCAGGTAGGATCCTATCACCTATGTGAATACTGTTTCTGTTTTGAGTATTCTGTGTAACTTCTCACTCCATCTTTGTATCACATTATTGCTGTTATTAAACGTTTACTGCCGAAAAAGTTTGTTACAATATGTCACCATGAAGAAACGCCACACAATAATGATAGAACAACATAGATTAAAAGTGAAAATATGAGTAGAAAATGGGTAAAGAATTTCATCTGGAAGGAAAACAGTCAGAAGGAAATTGAAGCACGTTCGCCACTGATTACGATTCTTACCAATATCCGATAAAGTTTCGAGCCATCAATTCGGACTATCTCGCGGACCCTAACCAGGAAGTCGTGATGCACCAATAGGCCACATCACGGACTGACCAACCTTCCGCTTCTTTCATCCTGTCCCAGGGCTGGCCGACAGAGACCTGTACGGAAGGCTCTGGGATGAAATTCGCAGCAGACGTCTCAGCCATCGGAGCCGTTGTGTCCAGATGACGACACTCAATGAATAGTGATCTCAACTGTGTTCAAACACACGCCGCCAAACCTTAGAATCACTCACGTGATGATGCCATCGAACGCAATACATCCTGCGGCGACAGCGATGATCGAACACACAGAGCCGCCAGCCACCCGCCCGACAACTGCGACCTTCCCGTGGTGGTTGCCCTTGAATACCGCAGTGAGCCGATAAGCTAAACTGGCTGGGACTCATGGTCCTGCCGGTTCTACTTTTTCAGGAAGGTTGTTAGGATAGCAGTTAGACTAATACGAGTTACCATGGGGTACACTGGCTTCAGAATGCAATCGGATCGAATGGCGTATGAATTTATTATATTGGACACCGGGGACCATGGGAATGCAGCACTTGATGCTGCTCCGCTGCCTTGTGGGTGGGACTCCTAATCAAAAGCTCGGGGAGTGGCCCCTAAATAAAAACACCAGCCAGGCAGTAATTCAGCCCTCACACAATAAATGAAATGAAGCCAAAAACTATCAGGTGGACTGCAGTTAACTTCAACACTATCTTTGCTGTATCCCATTCTACTTTAGTTAAAATGGAATGGTAAAAGCAAGAATGCAGATCAAGTCAAAAAGGCTTTCACTCGCTAGTGTCATTCATCGTCAGACTCAGGTGTCTTATTGATTTCAGAGAAGCATTACTTCTCTCTGCACTCTGTAACTTCAGAATCTACGCTGTTGTTCGCTGTCGAGAATCACTAGTCCGACTGACGTTCAACCTTATCTCTTTTGTGGTTTGGGGCTGGCTAATCACTAAAGACTCGAACTTCTTATAAGCACGCTGACATTGTTTACTCATCAGTGAAACTATTGTACATCACCGATGATCGTTACAATATATGTGGCCTAATTATCGTGATAACGAGCACTTTCTTGTTCATAAGTGAGTACATCTGTCTATATGTCCGTCATTCACTACTCTGTACCACTGATAGGTAGTAAATTGGTCAAAGTTAAACTTTAAGCCCCACTAACTACTAATGAGCAAAAGATCTTGAACTTACCAATCACGTGAAAGAGGCATTTCTTGTGTGTCGAATACGCATATTTATAAAACAATTGCACCAAAACTATATAAAAGTGTTACAGGAGATTCCTTTCTCTTACATGTCATAAAAATAACTCTCAGTTTTAGGTTGGAGTATCAACAGAGTATAATTCCGTTATGTGTAAAATCTATTTTGATGAAATCTCACAGTGTAATACAACAATAATTCCTGAGCAATAGATTGTGCTCAAAACTTCATCAGTAGATATTACTGTATAACACTGTGAGACTTTATCAGAATAAATTTTACCCACAATGGGATTGTACTCAACCACAATGCACAAGTTCTATTCATATACCAACAGAGTAATATAACCACATTCTATGAATGTAATTACTTGGATCTTCTAACCCTGATAATAACCCTGATCTTTCCTGAATCTAACCCTTACGGGAAAATATCCCTAATTTAACTGTAATCTAACTCGAAGCAACGCTAATATCGCCTCTATTAAGTTAGCCTAACCCTAACATATCTTTGGCTTAAAGCGTAACTCAATCTTTCCCAAACTTAACCTGGAAATTCCCAAATATCCCATTAAAAAACAAAGTAATGCGATTGGCATATTCTACTGATGATGACAGCATTATTTTCCAGGTTTCACTAACTTGCTTAGTAAGTGTTTCAAAGTCGCCTCTGCGGTTGCACTCCATTGGTAGTTAGTGGTGCCTAAAGTGTCACTTAGCCGTAAATTGTAAAGCAACTGAAACAAGTTACATTAAAATTTCCAATTCTCAATGCATAACACACTACACGTTAGTCACCTAATAATCCGAAAGTCGATCAGTTGACTAGAACATTCATTTGCTAATAGCTAATATCAGTTACTTATTTCTAGCATAACAAATGCAAATCACCATATATTTGTTCAGACATATACCTCATTTCCTTGATTTATATTTATGAGAAATAGGCTTGTTTCACACGGAACTCAAAAACATTCCTACAAACTAATCCTCCACATTTCCTTGACTATTCAAGGATCAGATGATGAGAAGCAATTGGTTATTGGAGGTGAAGCTGTTCTCGTTGGCGATTTTGTGGATGAAACGATTCTCTTCACGCGTTCCTGGTGAGTTTTGTACTGTACACATTTCAAGTTAGAGGAAAATTCAGCATTCATGTATACGTTTTATGATGAATGCATTTATTTTCTCATTCTTGTAATATACTGCTAACTGAATGAAATAAGGTAGTTTTGTACTACTACTGACTACCCTAGGTTTGACCTTGTTATTATCGATATCCACCAAGGTCATTTGAAACTCGTGTTTCGCCCACGACGAGTGGTCTAAGGGTAGATACTCGGCCACCGACGTACTCCTTCGTCTCACTAAACCAGTAGTAAGACTGGTAAAGAGGGAAAGTTAAGCATGAGGTGGCTAGAAACCCCATCATGTAGAAATAATCATCACTGCTACAGAAACTTCAAGCCACTAGCTTGAAGCTCTTTGTTCCACTGGGGACGTAAATGAATAAAAAAGAAAGTGAGAATCACTCAACCGAAGTTATCCGATTACTGCAAATCACTTGCATTTGAGTGAATTCTAGTTTATTCCACATATTTCAGAGGCTATTGACAGGAAGAGTGTTGAGGTGATTTTCACATAACAAATAGAATCGATATCAGTTAGCTTCGAATGCTTATCAACACATATAAAATATCTTGGATTGTTTACCATCCGCTTAGTATATTTCAGAGTTCATTGAAAGTTGTTGACCAATAAGAATCTTTCTTCTTCACGATTTTGATAAAATTAACACATAAATGCTGAGCAGTATCCGCAGCAGCAGTTGAAGTTGACCAGTACACTTTTCATCCACATTGGTCATATAATCGAAAGTTACTTAGTCATATTTTGTATTCCTTTACGTTCTCAGTGGAACATAGAGCTTCCTGTAGCCTCATACCTAAGCTTCTCTCTTTGCCAGTCTTACTACTGACTTAGCGACGTAGAGAAGTGGGTCGACCCGGTATCTTACCCCGGACCACCTTTCATCATTGGCAAGAAATCTATCTCTGTGCTGCTGATGCACGACTCAGTCATATTAAAAGGAATTATTAACGAAATCACGGAGCTGTATTCCTTGAACTATACATAATCTTCCTTTTTTCATTCATTCATTCTCAAATAGGCCAGATGGTGCAGTTACAGCTGAACGTCTTTGGTCACAAGGTGACTTCAACATTACGAAATTTATACCACGACTGAATGAACTGCGTTGCCGCATGTTAGAGTAAGTTCATGTCCTATTGTGATGATGAAGGTATTCTCAGATTTGTATTTCATTTATAATTTATGGTTATTGAATGTCAACATTCTTGTGGAAAATTAAAACCTCCTGTTTTCATAGTGAATATCAACAGAGCAGAGTAAAAGTAGTCGCCATTGGAATAAACATCACAATACCTTGAATTCATCTTCTTCACTCGACAATGGGATGGAAATAAATAATTACGAATATCTTATATGTAATTATTCAACTAGTCTTGCACTCTGAGGAATCGCTTTCAAACACTGAACAGTCATTTGAAAGTGAGAAGTTCATGTTGAATGACTGGTGGTTAGCCTCCTTAATTGCCTGGATTTTGATACTTACTATACTTCATGTGTGCGTCGGTGGAACAGCGGTAGAGTGCTCGCCGACCACGAAAGGTGGTCTGATGTTCGTTTCCCGACCACTGACAGACTGCTTGACGTCGCTAAGTCAGTAGTAAGACTGGTAAAATGGGAAGGTTAGGCATAAAGCGGATAGCAACCCTATCCTGTAAGAATAATCACCACTGATACAGAAACAAATATTAAGGGATAATATGTTCATACCACCATGACTCATACCACCTACTTCATTATAGTTTCCTCAGGAATTCAGACATGTTGAATATGGAGAATTTGACTACAGTCCGAAGTAATTAGGAGGTTAAATCATCTCTCATATTGATTCAGAAATCTATTTTCCTATTTTTTGTTTAATTTGCACAGTTTTGGATTAAATGCAAAACCACTGAACGAACCGAACAATTGTTTGCAACTATTAAATTTGTATTTGAATTAACTAGATTTCGAAAATCAGATTCACTATTTCTTTATCAATCTGTGATGGATTATAAAATATAATTTCCAAATATGTATACCTTCTGTATGTTCAGCTTTGCTAAAATGTAACATTTTGGCTGACTATCTGTACAGCATCACCTAACGATTGTACCCTACGATGAATCATTTCAAATGAAACTTATGCAACTACAGTTTTTCCGGTAATCACGAAAGCCTGAACTGCTAGGCATTCAAAACTTCTAGGCGAACACAGGGAAAGTGGAGCATTTGGAAACTATCAGTAGTGTTGTTAGCGTGGAATACTTCGTTACCATACGGGATATTTTTTGATCCTGGTAACATCATCACAACTGATGTGGTCTGTATATTGAAAAACTGTGATGCAGTCGGAAGCTTTCAAACTTGGTAATTACTTTGATTAGTAATTGATCAGGTTTGTAGGAAGTTATGAGGATAAAATTATATTAATAATAACAATAGTGATAAGGATCATCAGGAAATGATGGATGACAAAACACATACAGGAAGATGACAGATCCAAAAATATGGTATTCAAAACGTCAATAATGCTTTTCGAATTAGACCACGGATGAATATCAGTGACAGAACCATTAAAAACGTACAGGGAGTACTGGACAGCTGTTGGATCCTAGTTTGGGAGTCATCGGTAGCACACATCCACTGAGTTTTGAATTCAGGAATTTCCTGTAATAACGAGAGCTCGTAGACCGTTCAGACACTGGGATCCGACTTGCTATCGTCTTGCTACAGAACCCATTTTTCTGGCGTTCTACTGAGATGTCGTGACCAGTGAGGTCCATGTGGTTAGAAGTGAGGATGGAATTCCTACTGATGACATTGGTAGGTGATCACTCTAAGAAAATTTCAAATTGATAGAAGCTAGGCTGGCCATTCGGTCGGGTCCGAGTGGCTGAATAATCTGAAAGCTTGCCTTGTAACAGGAAGGTTTCGGGTTCAAACTCAAGTGGATGTGAACTGCACATTAGTCCCAAACTAGTGGGATGAAACAGACGTCCAATACTTCCTGAACATTTTCAATGGTTCTCTACCTGATATCACTTCGTAGTCTAACTTGAAAAACAAAACATATCTATACAAATCAACCCCTGAAAATCAAAAACGCTGCCATACACAGTGGAAACGTATGAGACTTCAAGTAGAGTGCTTAGGAAAGCCTGCATGAAAGTCGTGTAGCAATCCAAAAACGCAACCAGAAATATTTCATCACGATTGAAATTATCTTTCAGAGCACATTAAATAAGTTACTTTATCTAATATCGTGCGATGATTGTAAACTGAATAGGGTTAAAGATACGGGGGATGCTGAGGTGGTTGCTGTACAATTAGTTTCGGATATTTCGGTTAAATGGTGTGTGCATTGATTCGTAGAAATAAATGTATGCCATTGTACTCACTCATATCGTTCACGACCACAGCATACTTGGTGACTCAATGTCTTGACCTCACCAGTGTTTTTGACATGAATCAGAAGGATATAGGATAGATAGGAAATCGTGTAACCAAATAAAGATGTCAGTATTGTGAAATCAAGATGCGCTGTTTAATCGTGATGTTCCATTCTGAAACCATGGTGAATATGATTCATACGATAATCTAACCCGCCTAGACTTTTGCATTTCTGAGTTGATACACGTTTCAACTCGAATTCATCTCTGTACACTATTTATCAATAGTAGCGTGAAATTTTAATTCATCAGTCTTTGTCCTGTTTTGCACTAATTGACGAGCTATAGTTTCACCATTCTCACTTGATAAACAACTACGTGTGTTTTAAACACTATGCTTAGTCTTTCCCTGTACAATATAATAGAAAAACGGGTCAAAGTTTCAAATTTGTTAAGGAATGAAAATACTCTTATTGTTTCTAGTAATTATGACAGATGAGTACAAAGGTGACATGCGGTGCATAATGGTGATCAAAGATCGAAATTATGCTTCGAACAGAATCGAAGTATATTGGTTGTATATCAATCCAACCATAGCTGACCATACACAGTCTTTTGTGTGATCTGACTTAATGTGCGTGTGGCAATAGTCAACGAATATCGTGGTGGATATCAGTAATCTGTTATTCCATGCTATTGTATCTTTTCATCTCGTTGGCGATCTGGGCAGCTTTGCCAATCTCGTACATAGTGCGGACGTTCCATAGCCCCACGCAGACATTTTCTTTTGGCGCAAAGAGATTCCTAGTGCTGCAGTTTCTCTAACAACCTTGTTAACAGGGTGGGGTTGCTAGCCTCACGCCTGAGAAAGGAATTGTTATATTAAGATAAAGTTTAAGGAGAAGCGACCTTTTGAGGTGCGCACCTTAAAATCGGAAAACAAGCGATAAAACAATCAGAACAACACCAGCAAAAGGAAAATAATTCATAGCAAAAAAGGCAAAGAGCGACAACAACAATACAATACAACAACATGCAACACAGTTAAGCACAGTTAACTAAAATGATACCAAAAACCATAGACTCACTGACTTGGGCCAACTTGAACATATAAATCCAACAAATTATACAATTACAGATATGAGTTATTGTTAAAAAGTGACGAGATGTCAAACGGTTTGTTATAGGTATTAGAAGTAGGACGAAATGGAGATGGATTGGCCATTATTATTATTGTATCCTTTAATTCCTGGAGGAAAATGGGGCTTCAGCTGCGCACCTCCATTGCCTTCTGTTTTCTGCCAACTTTTTCACCCCGCTCCAAATCTGCCCACATGCTTTCATCTCGTCTTCACATGACTTCCTCCAAGTCATCATCGCACTGACGACCGACTCGCAGCTTCCCTTTCGGGTTCTACTCGAGCGACAGCTTGTCTAGAGATGTCACTTGCTGGTTTCTTCATAGTATGGCCAATCCCTCTCCATTTCTTCCTGCCTATTCGTTTCACAATTGGTTCCAGGTTGGTTTGCTCATTCCCAGAGATCCTTGTTGCTGATCGTCTCTGACTGGCCATCTGATCTTGAGTACTGAGCGAAGACAATTGTTAATGAAGGTCTGAAGTTTGTTTGAGGTGCTCTTTATGACGCGCTAGCCAAGTCTTCGATCCGTATAGTAGCACTGACTGACTTCACATTGGAGTTGAAAATCCGGATCTTATTTTTGATGCTGAGTGCTGTTGACCTCCACACAGACTTAAGAGTAATGAAAGCTTGTCTTGCTTTTCCGATTCTGGCTATGATATCCTCGTCAGTTTCATTTGCCTGTAGTTGAAACCACGCTTCCCAGGTCCTATCTGTGATGCTTCTTCTCTGGCCAGCTTGTTGCTTTTCACTTGCATATCTTCCAGCTTGTGGGAAATCAGACATATATCATCGGCGAAGTCCAGATCCTCCAAGTTTTTCGTGTGAGTCCATGAATTGGCCATACGCTGAGGAAATCACCAAGTGACATCACTACACAAGCCATCGCTCGAGTGGAACCCGAAAGGGAAGCGGCGAATTGGTCGTCAGTGCGAGGATGACTTGGAGGAAGTCATGTGAAGACGAGATGAAAGCATGTGGGCAGACTTGGAGCGGGGTGAAAAAGTTGGCAGAAAACAGAAGGCAATGGAGGTGCGCAGCTGAAGCCCTATGTTCCTCTAGGAATTAAAGGATATAACAATAATGTTATTGTAAGTGAAACTGGAAGGTGTTCAAAATGCCATCCAGTGAATAACATTGTGTCATTAATCAACACACATATAGTAAGTAAAATACAATCACCTCCAGCCTCAGTCGGATTGTTCTGCTTTGTTTTGGCCTAACAGTAACAGGGGCTTATTTACTGTGTTCGTCTCATCCCATCTGACTCCGCATTCCATGTATGTTGTTCACGAAAATTCGATGTAGTATACACAGTTCTGCTCCTCGATTGTGTGCTGGTGAGTATCTCTGACTGTCACATGGAAAGCTTGGGTTCGATTCCCGGTAATGAAGCTGGATTTGCCTCGTTGACACAGCGATAGAGTTTACTCAGACCACAAAGGTTGGTCCAGGGTTTCATCCCAGTTCGGTTGATATTCATATCGCTCGCTAGGATTTTGATATCAACATTTTGGATGTTGTCCATTACTGTTTGTAGTTGTGACCTTCCTAACTTCCTTTTGAGTTCACTCTTGCTGTCATGATCTTGTGGGATGCAATTGGTCTCAAC